AGACTGCCAACTCCAGAATCCAGACTGCAGACTCGAGATTCCAGATTCCAGACACAATGACTCCTGGCTCCAGGATCCTGATCATTTTGTGGTGGAATTCGGCCACGGGGCCAAGTTAAGTTATGTTAAGTCGTGGTGACGCAACTGGGCCTCACGGGGAAAGTTTGGCAGTTAAGTTGATTGAGTTACAATAGGGACTCCACGGCTCCACACGACCCGCCCAGGTTAAGTTAAGTTAAGTTTTGTTAAGTTCGAAAAAACTGCACCGGCCTTTCCGGGCTTTGGGGCGGGGCTGTCTGGATGCTGGATTCTGGGGTCTGGACTGTGAATTCTGGAGTCAGGAGTCTGGATTCTGGAGTCAGGAGTCTGCAGTCTGGAGTCTGCAGTCTGGAGTCTGCAGTCTGGAGTCTGCAGCCTGGAGTCTGCAGCCTGGAGTCTGCAGTCTGGAGTCTGGAGTCTGCAGTCTGGAGTCTGGAGTCTGGAGTCTGCAGTCTGTCTGTGGAGTTTGCATTCTGGAGCCTGGAGTCTGCAGTCTTGATTCTGGAGTTGGCAGTCTGGAGTCTGGAGTCTGCATCGGGAGTCTGGAGTTTGCAGTCTGGAGTCTGCAGTCTGCAGTCTGGAGTCTGCAGTCTGGAGTCTGCAGTTTGGAGTCTGGAGTTTGCACTCTGGAGCCTGGAGTTTGCAGTCTGGAGTCTGCAGTCTGGAGTCTGGAGTTTGCAGTCTGAAGTCTGCAGTCTGGAGTCTGCAGTCTGGAGTTTGGAGTTCGCAGTCCGGAGTCTGCAGTTTGGAGTCTGCAGTCTGGAGTCTGCAGTCTGGAGTCTGCAGCCTGGAGTCTGCAGTCTGGAGTCTGCAGTCTGGAGTCTGGAGTTTGCAGTCTGGAGTCTGCAGTTTGGAGTCTGCAGTCTGGAGTCTGCAGTCTGGAGTGTGGAGTTTGCAGTCAGCAGTCTGGATTCTGGAGCCTTGATTGAGTCTTGCAGCCTTTCATCCGCGCACTCACAATCCAAACATGCAAAAAATCGCAAGGTGCCATCAGACCACCGCTTCAAGTGCCATCTCGAAATAAAAATCACGCCGAACAATTCCTGGGCGGACCAGCCGCCAGCGGACAACCGCTTCAAGTGCCATCTCGAAATGAAAATGAACGTGGCAAAAAAAGCTTGGCGGACCGGCCGCCAGCGGAACCACCGCTACAATGATATATCATCAAACGAGAAAAGCAAAATGGGCGGACCGGCCGCCGGCGGAGAAACCACCCCATGCGACTATATGAAGGCGGACCGGCCGCCAGCGGAGACACGCTATAGAAACGATTATCGCACAACAAAATTAAACCGAGTCAATCAGTGCAAAAAATGCTCCGGCTCCATCGAGCCAAGCGTGCGAAGCAGCGCGAACAAACAGCGTAAACTGCATGCGCGCGCGCGCCTGCCCTGCTGCGTTGAGTCACACGAAAATGTGTGATTTCCAGCGCGTAATGCTTCATCACTGCCATGCTTCAAAACGCATGTGTTTGCAAACTCAATGAACTTAGAATGAACTTAGCGGACTTAGAAAAACCTCTTTTCTAAGTTCAAGATAAGTTACTTATAAGTCCAAGCTAAGTGCTAAGTCACTTATAACTCCAGCGTAAGTACGACCCTATCCCAGTAGCCGAACCCGGCGACGTAGTGCTTCCTCCAGCTCCACGCTCACCTCCGCTTTTCTCCGCACCCGGGACCTCCGCTTCAGGCTTCATCTCTTTTCTCACACGGGGATTCTGCTGCTCTTTCACGGGGCAGTCCGGCTTCATGTGCTGGGTACTACCGCAATTCCAGCACCGGCCCATCTTTCCTTCTTCTCCCCACTCATGGGAAAAAACCACACGCCTTCCCCTTTTTACAGCCCTGCTCAGTACCGGCACGCGGTCGACTGCTTGCTCTTGCCTTTTCCACCAGACATCGGCGCCCCGACCCCTTCCAGCTTCTCCTTGGGCTTGTCCATAGCCGGCTTCATCTCCTTCTCCGGAGATTTGACCTTGCCGTCCTTGGCGTCCACCGCCTTCAGCTTCATGTTCTCCTTGAGGGGTAGCGTTGCACCTCCATGATACACCGCCTCACCTTCAGCTTGAAGAGCTTCTGCGAATTGTTGCACCGCAGCCGGCGTAGGAGCAATATCCACCCGCAAAGCCGCCCGTGCAATCTGCAACCGGAACGACACCTGCGGTGAGTTCTTCGCCAGAACCCCGGAGTACTTGTCCAACGTGGCCAGGAGCAAGACCGGGTCTGGTGGCTGAATCCTAAGTTCCGCAATCCGGACCAGCCATCTTCTCCAGTTCCTCAACGACATCATCCACTCCGTCATGCTTTGAGGAACCTTCTGGTCCACCAATTGCTTCAGCAGCGCGGTGCGTTCTCCAAGTCCCCCAGGCGGATATACTCGAAGGATCTTGTACACAATGTGCACACAATCCACCTCCCGTTGGGCCACCAGCTCCGTCTTCAGTGACTCCGGCAATGCCCTCAAAAGAGCCACCTGGCCCCTTTGCTCCACTCTCAACCATGGTGCTCTTCGAAACGCCTCCGGTGACCTTGGATCCAACCTCAGCCTTTCCATTGGCTCCGCCTCCAACCACTGCCGGTAGCAGTCACCCGAAACACGAAGTACCTCCTGCCACCAGAGCGACGATGACGAGCTGAGGTCACTCATGAACGGGTTGACCATGGTGAGCCAATCTCCCGCCACCAACGGACCCACCTCCGACTCCGACAACTCCGGCAGCATCGGCAGCTCTACCGATCGCACACTCTCCTGTTGGGCTAGTACTCCACCTAGCCATCCGGGAACTTCTCCACCATACCCTGGTCCGCCAGGACCTCCGGGTGGGCCACCTCCAGGAGCGCCAGGAAATCCGCCTCCAGGAGCACCAGGACCTCCGCCTCCAGGAGCACCAGGAAATCCGCCTCCAGAAGCGCCAGGAAATCCGCCTCCAGGAGCACCACAGGAAATCCGCCTCCAGGGGCTCCAGGAAATCCACCTCCAGGAGCGCCAGGATATCCGCCTGCAGGAACTCCAAGAAGTCCGCCTCCAAGAGCACCAGGAATTCCACCACCAGGAGCTCCGGAACCACCTCCTGATGCTTCATGTTGCCGTTCAGCTTCCACTGCTGCCCCTGACGAGCTCGACTGCGGCAAGCCTCCTGCAGCATCCTTTTCTCGGACAGCCGATCCTTCACCTTGGGCTCCATCTCACGCCCTGTTGGTCTGGCCGAAGAGGAACTCCCGCAGCTCCAGGCGCCATCATGCCCCCGAGACCATCCAGGAAGTCCTGCAACATCTTGCCAGCCGAAACTCCATAGCCCTTGCCTTGCGGCTGTCCATGGTTCCTCCAACCGGAACGCTCATCACCAGGCCGTTCAAATACTCCCGAATGACCATTAGGCCACCAGAACTGCTGGCCCTCATTGCGACCCCAGTTTCCAGCCCTCCCCAGGCCCGCTGCCGCCGCCATCTTTTCCATGAAGGATGCCTGCTCCACCAACATGGCGGCCTGGGCAGCGGATGCGCTGCCTCCCACGGATGCGTGGGCCAATGCTCTGGTGCTCGAAGGCCTGGGTGAGGCGATGCCGCTGAAGGGCGGGCGCACGGCGCTTGCTGATGCGGCAGGCGAATCTGAAGGCTGGTCATTGAACGAGTCTTTGCAGAATTGCAAAATGCCCAACCACTCCAAAATGAACTTGTCTTTGAGAGTGGCATGGAGTTGAGATGATGAAACCGGTTTCGAGGCAAGTTCACGGCTCTGAACCGGCATGGCTGGCTTGGCACTAAACGTCCTTCGAGGACGGGGAACAATCCCCAAACCCAAGGCTGATGAACAGTCAACAGGCTGTGCGGACGACGGCGCCGGCGGTGCCAGCTTCCCACCACTGCCCTCAGGCGTTCCAGCTCCTGCCAAAGGCGACCATTCTCCTCCGCTACCCCGCGCATCATCGTCTCCACCGCCCAGGCTTCCCGCTGCGGACTCCAAGAGCTTCCTGCCCCCGGGTCATCGTTCACCGGCTCCGGGAGTGACGATGGGCGCATGGCCTTCAAGACCGCCTCCTCCTTGGCCTTTTCGCTCCAGAAGGGATTGAGGTCTCCCGGCCCAAGAACCTGGCAAGGCCCCTCCGGGCCCTTCAGCGGCACCAGGTCGGTGCACGTCCTGCCTTCGCCCTCCGACGGGGTCTTCAGGCTGTCATCCGAAGCGGCCATTGCGCACACGTTGGGCTCATAACCCTCAGAAGCTAAAAAGCGAAATCTCCTGTTTCTCATCCAAAAAGGCTATCGGAAGTCGGCGCATGGGGTTATGACCCCACCGTTGACCCAGTGAGTGGCTGGTGAAGGGTCCTTTGCATGAAGTTAGACGTCTCTTCAACTGTAGCCTACCATCTCCGGGTCACGCATGGTGTGGCTTGCAAATCTTGAGGTCCCACCGAATCTTCAACCGAACGCATCTCCGAACATTTCAGCCGATCCACATCGATCCAGGAAATGGTAGAATATTGTTTGGCCTCAAAGCTTGTGAGCCAAGCCTTTGTTGTAGCCGCACCCTCCTTTTTCCGTCTTGGGTGCGTCCTTTAGGGGACTCCCAAAATGGTTGGTTTCCTCTTAGTGTCCCTCAAAACCACCAAGATGGACTACCCCGAACAAGACACCCTTTTGTCTTCAGCAAATAGTCCAAGTCTGTAGGAAGAGGGGTGGTTTCTGGAGTCAACGATGAACATTTGACACAGGCCGGCATTTTGATTGAGGTAACACACGCAGAACTGGGTGCTACATATACATTTACCATATTTTTCCGGTATTCCGACAGGAAACCAAAAAGGGATGCTCCACTTTCTGACTGCCCCAAAGTGACTTAAACCCAGGGGTGGGTCATGCACCCCAAAAGGGTTTTGTCAATTTGCAGGTTGCCAAAAAATGGGCGCCCTGCCCCGGAAGCCAAGTTCGAATCCGCCCGTTGCTCGGAATCTCTTGGACTCCGAGGTACCATCCGCGCCCGCCGGGGTGCGGAGCTGTTGGTGTTGAGCGCGGTGGAGACGAAGGTGCCGGGCTACTTTGCCGGGGCTCCCATCCGGGATCCGTGTGGGGCTGGTGGCTTGGGTTGGCTTGGGTTGGATTTCGCCTTGGTGCATTTTGCTTGGATGTGAGGACTTTCACCTTTTGCCAACCAAGGGGTTTTCCCTTAAACCACCAACAGTTAAACTTTTGGCAGGGGAGAAAGTAACCGAGTTTGGATGGTGGATTAGCTCGTTGGGAGGCTGCTTGGCCACCCCGCCCGTTGCAAGGTGACGGTTGCGGTGTGCCCTTGCGACACTTCACTCGGGTTGCTGGTATTTTTAGGCCCTATGAACTTTGGGGGGGAATTCAGCCTGCGCAGGAGCCACAGCAGTTCCTAAAATAGGTCAAGTGTCTGGACTTGTGAATACGTGTAATTGCCTGGGTACCGGGTTCGTGAGCCGGCTTTTGAGATGTGTTTTTGTGCGGGAGCTTTCATGAGCTCAGTCTGCACCGCGGGTTTCGTGGTTGGTTGGTCGATTTGTCGGCCTGGGACAGAACCACACCTCACAAAGCCACAGTTGGAGCCAAAGCCGCCTGGAGTTTTCGGGGCGAGTTTTAACGCCATGTGTGGCCATGAGGGCTAGCCTGTTGCTTTCAGCTGAGCCACAGTGCCTGGAGCCCGTTCCAAGTGTAAGCGACAGCTGGACAGGATGATCGTATTCCAGCTTGTGTTGTTTATTTTCCTCAGATGTCATGGTTTCCAGTACTTGGCGAGAAACTCATATTAGACCTTATGAAAAAAGATGTCCAAAAGGGAAATCATCAGCTTTCCATGGTTCCTTAGGTGCGAAATGGATGACTCGCAATTACCCATCCACAGTATGTTTCTTCTTTTGAAGCCTTTGGAAACGACCCCTCAGAGATGGCTCGAAATCATTCCCCGACATTTCCTCAGATCACTCCTACTTGGTCGGTTGGATCGGTGGTTTGGGGTGCGGAGGTCTTAGTTCTTCAGGAAAGAAAAAGGGAAACCCCTGGGTTGCACCACCAAACCGCTGACCTCCAAACCGCCCAAACGAGGAAGGGTTCTTCAGGTAAGAAAATGGGAAACATCCCTCCGAATCCCCCGCCCAACCGGCGGTTCGCGCGCCATGCGCGCCATGCGCCAGACGCCGAGCTGAGGGGAACATCAGGGACGAGGTTCTGGACCGGGACCGGCACAGGGATGCCACCGGCACCTGGAGCACCGACACCATGCAGTTCCAGGCGAGAGTTCGACAGCTGGATGGATCTGAGGTTGGGTTCAATGGCCCCTAGCAACTCGAAAATCTCGGACGTTCAAAGGACCTGGTTTTGCCGGGTTCAGTGTTAGCCGGTCTGCCCTAGAAGAAGACGAGCAGTGGATGTACGTTTGGATCAACGACCACTATGGCGGCTTGAGCTGGCTGGCTCACGGCCTGCGGCTTTCCTCATGTAGGGCGGGGCCCCAGTCTGGTCGGTTCAACCACTTAGCTAACTGGACCCAACTTCCAGCTTGTTTTTTAGATTTGGAGGAAACTAGGGCTTATTTGGGGGCTGGAGGGGGGGGAGGGGTGGGTGGGTTGGGGTTGGTTTGGGGAACTGGTGGAACGGACACCTAGAACCCTGAAAGAGGAGTTCAAACCCCAAATTGACCGGATGCCAAAAAGTTGCTCGCGCGTGAGTCAAGGGCCCAAAGCTTGGCTCCCCCGCTTCAAGAAAAAGCCCAGATTGTGCATCTGCGCCACAGCTTCTGTTCGATTTATAACGCCGGTGATTCGTATGTCTTTTGCATTAGTGCGGATCCTCTATGATTTGAAATCCAGGTTTACACATGGGGGAATTTGCAGTGTTTCTTCTTGTCAGAGTGGGAGAGCAGAAAACCTATCCAAGCATCCAACTAAGAAGCTCAAGTATTTGCATGGCTGTCAATGGCTTGCTTTGTGATTCATAAGTCCACCCGCCAACACCCGCAGGTTTCTGACGCAACTAGGTTGCCAAGCAATCCGGTTGACAAAAGATCCAGTTGGCATGGTGACTCTTTCACATTTTCAACCATGCGCCCATCTCTGATGGCCTTTCTTCTTTCAACTGCTGTTGTTACTTTTCCAATCATTGCACGTGAGCCAAACATCCAACCACACCACCTTGGTACTTTTCCGCGAAAAATCACCAAAATGTGGCGCCCTTGCACTCACAGCTGGGCTTGTCTCGTTTTGGTCGTTGGGTTCTCCAGTTCTGCTTTTGGACGTTACCGATCGGTTGACCATTCCATCGGTTGGCGGGGTGCCAGGATGACGAGCTGAGCTACGCGCTGGGCAAGCAGGGCGGCACCCGGAAGAAGCTGGAGCGGTCTTCAGGCGCGTCTCGTTTTTTGCCAGCCCGGGTCCGGTTTGGGGTCTGGGTCCCACTCGGGTGATTGGCTGAGTTGGCAAGTTGTTGGCAACCCAGGTTAGACCTCAGTGGGGTTCACCTTGTTATTACGGGGTTACTACCCCTGGCTAACTGCTTGGCTGTCTTGGCCAAACATCCAAGCAGTTTTCCGGTTTTGGGTTTTCCGGTCCGTGTTTGGGGGGTCCCGGTTTTCCCTGGCTGCCCAAATATTGAGGGGCTCTCAAAGTTCCTTTTGCTTGCCGAGTTGGCCATTGGGCGCCAGTGAGACCAGAAGCCACATAGTTCGAGCGCGAATCTTAGGATCTGATTTTTCCGTTTTTCGGCAATTTTCCCTATAGAGGGACAGGACGTTCTGTCAAAAAATGCGGGCTTCTGACATTTGCTTGAAGGCCAAGTCCAACAAAAAGGGCGCTGGAGATGGACGCAAGAGGGACCTTTTTCTGAATCTAGCGGGCGTGTTTCGTTCTATTCCCCAAACGAGTGTCGAAAGAGGGACACAGGCCGAAGCGGCTCACTGCGACCTGTTCCACATGGAAAGCTGGTTTTGGGTTGCTGATATCGGTGAGTGGCCGAGAACATTTTGGGGGTGAGGTATGGGTATGGGAATCAACCTCTATCCACAAAAAGGCCCCATCTTCCGGAGGCATGCGAACCAACTTGCGCCCCCTCACACCTTTCAGCCTTCCCGAACATCCGATCGGCAGGGTGCCCTTTGCTCCAGGGTGAGCCATGGCCGTCAAGGGGCAAAAGGCGACAGATGGGTGTCTCAGTCAGGGCATCTCCGTGCCCTAGGCACCCCAAGGGGCACCGAGGCTCCAACCAAAACAAGACGCACCCGAGAGACGGCCGGTGGCCGCCGGTCCCAGTCGCCCGTCGCCCGCGAGGTGCGGTGGTGCAGTACGTGGGGCAGACCGCCCTCTTCTCCGGCCCCAAGACGGAGCGCAAGCGCGCCAAGGAGCAGGGGGCCGCACGTGCGCGGAAAAACGCGCGGAAGACGCGCGCGGAACGCGCGGGGCGGCCGAAAGCCGAAAGCGTTTTTGCTTTGCCGTGCTCTTTTGGGTTGGGTTGTCCATGGGGGCTGGGCCGTGGACATGTCTCAAAATGAAGCATCCTCCCACAGACAGAACAGCAGGAGAGGACATCTGCCGAAAGAAACAGCTGCTTTAAATGACACATCCAACTGCCTCATATCCGGACATACAAAGTCCGACTTGAAGGCGCTAGAGTCAAGGTGTACCCAGGATGCGTGATTTTGTGTGTGGGTGCCTGTCCAATTTTAGAGGCATTTGTACTTTAAGGGTTGGCCGGGCGAAGTTAGATGATCAGCGGCACTGGCAATGGAATCCTTGCAAGGATCATGACATTTCAGCCAGAGTCAAATCAAGCCAACCTGCGGTTGGATTCCTTTTGGCTCCCCTTCTCAGTTGAATCCATGAGCTCATTCCTTTTTGAGTTTCGAAGGGTGTCTTTTGGTCCCCTGAAATCAAGACATCCAATCACCGAAAGCGACGACTCCTTGCGAGGAGTACATGAAATGGCTCTTCATGCAGCTCGAGGGTAGCGAGCCTCAGAGACGGGAGGATTTCCAGGGAGTCGCGCGTATGGAAGGGCCAGGGTTCGGTTCTGTTTCCGGGACCGAGCAACTTCGGAACCGAGCGCTCGTTGAACGTCAATAAGCCACCCGAGTGTTGACCAGGGTTGGCAATTGGTTGGCACGTGTTTTTCTCCCTCGTTTGCTTGGTGCAAGTGACACTTCCTGGCACAACCCTGCTTTTGCACACCCCATTTTAGGAAGCATCCAGAGTCTCACATTTTCTTGCCTGGGCATGGAGGAGGATGGAAGGGTGCCAATTCACTGGTCGCTGCCTTTTTCTGGCAGGGGTCCAAAAAAATGGCAAACCACATGTTTTTGGCTTCTGGTGTGTGTGTGTGTGTTTTTTTGGGGGGTTCCCCTAAAAACAGACACCCATGTGATTACGGCTGGTAGCGAGCCAACTAATCTGCACCCAACTCCGGTGCATGAGTGGATCAACAAGTAACTGCTGACCAATATGCAACAAAGGTCCGAACGCTTCTATGGCGTTCTCCGAGGTTTTTCCCTTGGGATAGAGAAGCCTTCAAGGAGCGGTCCTTCTCACTCCCTGAGTTCATGGACTTTATACTTTTTGGGAAGACCAGTTTGGTGGTAAACGAAAAGTTCGGACTTTTCTTGGCCAATCAACTCAGGAAGCGGTCCTTGGCCTTAAGTCCCGGGATTTTCCGCTAGGCCCTGTCTGGGTGGACAACTGGGAGGAGCGAGACGACATCACGGCCACTTGGCAGGGCCAGGGCTTGGCAGGGCCAGAGCGAGCCATGGTAAAAACCTAGCGGAGGTTTGGCCAGGTTCTGCGCAATCAATGGCTAGGTCTCCCAGCTAGGTGCCCTTTTACCAACTTTTTTGGGGGAGATTCGGTGCCCCTACTAATCCCCTACTAAAGTAGACTACAGAAAAAAGGGTAGCCGTATTCTAACCTCTCAAATCTGGAGGACCTAGAATGGGGACATGAAGGTTACGCGACGCTCGGAAATAAAAACACAGTTACTGTGGATGGACGAAATCCACTTTGAAACCATGGTTGAAACCACTGTTTGTTGGTGTTTACAAGGGAATCATCAGACGCCAGGGTGTCTTAGGTGGTGCGAAGTGGATTTTGTCCATCCACAGTAGGTCTCCCTATGGATCTGAGCCCGAGACCGCGAGGTTTTGGACATCCCCAGCGACTGTATCGGCTACGTCACCGGCAGCCGCCGAGCCGCCCTGGGCGGAATGGAGGTCGGAGAGGGTGGCGTTTGGGCGGGACGGAGACGCAGCAGGGCCCCCATGCTGCTATTCCTAGTTTGAAGAGTAATATCGAAACAGCAATTACAATCCGCTGGCGGATGAAAGCGTTGGTCCTTCAGCTCGAGTCTCAAGGATTGCACATCTTCCCCCACTACTTTGTTTCAGTCTCTCCTTGAAGAATCAGCTATATTCGTGTGTCTTTTTTTTCCCGCGACCCCCCAAAATGGGTTCGGTTTCCTTTCGTTTCCCTTAAAAGCCGCCAAAAAGGGACTCCGCGAAAAAAAGGACGAGAGCCACCCTCTGCCAAGAAAGAGGCGCCCAGTTTTTGCTGGAGCTCTGGGCTGAGAAAACATGTTGCCATTGCCAGGAAGAGTGGGGCACTCTGATGTTCTTCATGACGAAGCCCGGCTCAGGCGAGTCGATGCTCCGCGCGTTCGGAGGGTGAGGGGTGTGGGGAGGGGGGAGGGGGGGGTCACCCTCCAGTCCACTCACGTGGAACCTGACTGAGGAGTCGTGGAGCACGATTCTCCTTCTAAAGGGACTATTTCTTTGGTGGATAACGCATGAAAGTGGACAGGTGAAAACCCCAAAAGGTTTTATCATACCAGGTATTGTCCTTGCTTTTTCCATTTTGCAGAGGTCCGTTCTCGGTGCCTCTTTTGACCCACACCCACACCCACACCCGCTGTGGATGGGCAAAATCCTGCAGCACGTAAGACTCGATTCCCCTGCAATTACCAACAAACAGTGGTTTCAACCACGGTTTCAACCACAGTATGGGAGACTTTGGACCGGAGAAGGAAAACCGAAGCCATTTTGGGGCCTGCGGTTCACAAATCCGCCTGCCCCATCCCTTTTGGACCATACATGCACCACACCAAAGGCGTAGCAACTCCAAAAAATGGGCGCCCATAAATGTGTGTGGTTGTTTGGGGGCAACCCCAAACCCCTTTTGTTGGCTGGTTTTGAAGGGCGAGAGGGTCCATGCAAAACAAATAGTCCAAGTCTGTGGAAGGGGTGGTGTTTGAAGTCAACAATGGACACCCAGGTAATCGGAGGGTAGTAAGGGACAATCCTAGCCAGAAATGGGTGCGGCCGCCTGGGTAATTCTTGAAGCATGGTTCTGGGTAGCTATTTTGATACCGGGTTTTGATTGTGACTCACCTGCATCGTTCTTTTCAAAAGCGGATCTGCAGTCTTTGGGTTTCTGGAGGTTAGAAAGAAGGATCGCCAAGAATGGCAATGGAAGGCACACATAGACTGCCCCCAAAGTGCCCTACACCCAGAATTGGGTTATATACCCCAACAAAACCCCTAAATCTTGATCCATTTGTAGGTTTTCCTAAATCCCCCCCCCCCCCCCGCTCCAGCGGTTGATATATTTTTCAAGGCACCCCCTAAATGTTCCTTCATTTGCATCGTCATCATGATCATCATCATCATCATCATCATCATCATCATCATCATCATCATCATCATCATCATCATCATCATCATCATCATCATCAGTTCTCGCCCCCTCCCCCGCCCACCGCCGCCCCCCTCGCCCAGTTACAGGGGGCAAGGGGGACCGCCGCAGCGGCGGCCCGGGCTTCGGGGAGCAGCTGGCCATCCTGGGCCCGGAGCGGGGCCGCCGGGGCGCGGCCCGGAAGCCCAGCCTGGCCCTGGCCGGGAAAATGGGGGGGGAGCCGGGGGCGGAGCTGGGGGGGGGGGGGCGGTTGAAAGGGCTTTGGAGGGGTTCGGAGCAATGTGTTGTAAACTATCATTTGGCGCCCGGAAAAAGGCGAACAGTGCGACTTTGATGACAAGTGTTTAATGGCGTTATGTCTTGAAACCAAATGTGTGTGTGTGTGTGTGTGTTTCTAATAGCTGCCCAACGCCGTACACTGTGTAGTCTTAACGCTGCTGCCTCATGTCGAAGATGGAGCGCCGTGCTGCCAGTGTGATAAATCGTCCTGCTGCTCAAATCAGACTTGTTAGCAAACGCCCGGCCATGCACAAAGTAGGCGGAACCCATTTTTTGTTTGTTGTCTTCCCTGGTTTCAAGTTTTGTGTGTATTTGTCAAGTCATGCAACCCGGAAAAATGTGGGGGAGTTTTTGGGGAGTGGGCGTGGGATCGTGTTTTGAGGGGTACCAATCAAGTGTTTGGTGGTTTTAAGGGGAACACACCAGGAACGCAGGTGTGCCATTTTCGGGGGGGTCCCCCAAAAGTCACAGACTCCCAACTGCGGATCTCCGAAGGTGTTTGGGGCACCATGTTGGAGGGTGCCATGGTTTTGAAGGCGTTCGAGGCTGCCAGTTTCTGAGTGGTTTAGGGAAACCCTTCTTTGAGGGGGCCAGGTTTTTGGGGTGGTGGAAAACGATCCCAGAAGGACACCCCGTGTCCCGAAGCAAACAGACAAATGCGTGAATGAGTGGGTGAGTGAGTTGACAGGTTGCCAAGTAAGCCTACAGGTGGTATCGAGCACCGGAACTTCCTGAAACCCTCCGGAACCCTCCTTGCAAGCTGCCCTCCAAACCACCTGACCAAATCACCTGAGAGCCTATTTGGGCAGAGACCCCATAGCTTCTGCAGTTGGGGGAAATCGTTGTGCATGGACTGCGGAAAAGGATTTTAGGACAGATTCCCACTCGCGAAGGAGCGCCCATCCGTCGCAAAGTAGCGAATGGGTTGTTGCCTCCACGAATTACAGGGAAACAAAGGGGACCAGGATGTAAAGAACACCCACTTCAAAGGGCAAGGGGCACCAAGGCTTCGAGAGATTTGATATTTTGCGGGGTTTGGGGCCCGTGATGAAGGCTCCACAATTCATATATGGGTTCCCGGTTCGCAAATCGAAGTCAGGCCCCCTGCATTTGCTTGCCCCTCCCCCCATTTTCGCTCGTTCCCAGGCAAACCCGCAACTAAACATGTGCTTGTAAGAATTTTAGAGTACGAAAGCTGTTTTTCTTGGCAAGTGATCAACTGACCACCGAGGTTTCCTTGTTGTTCCGACCCCCCCCCCAAAAGACCAAAACAAACCAAGAACAACAACCTGGTTGGTTTCCCAGAATTTAATTTCTCCGCGTCTCTCCCGGAAAAAAAAAATCGGATCGGGCGTGGGGTGTCTCGTGTTTTTTTCTCCCTTCCCCCCCCAACCCCCACTTCCCCCCCCAATTTCCCCCCCTCCCCCCCAACCCCCCCGAGGAGCTGAAGGTCATGAGCTCGGTGGAGGAGAAGGCGCCGGGGCAGTACACGCGGGGCATCCGCGAGAAGTTCTCGGACTCGAGGGGCTTCTCCACGGATCGGATGATCTTCAAGGACGGGATGGGTGGGATGGGGAGAGGAGGGAAGAGGGAGGGGGTTGGGGAGGGGGTTAGGGAGGGGGAGGAGGGGGAAGGGGGGAGGGGAGTGTGGGGAAGGTTTGGGTGGGTGGGTGGGAGGGGAGGGTTGGGGCAGAGGTTTTCTTTTTGGTATTCACTGTCAGGAACCCATTGCTTCATTTGGCTGCCTTGTCCGAGTCCACAGCCCTGGTCAGCTTTGTTTGAAAAATGAAATCAAGAGCACCCATTTGGTTGCCGCATTCGGCAAACCCATTCCCAACTCAAAACTGCCCAGCTAGCCTCATGGAACCATGCCTTTCTCCCAACTGAGCCAAGGGGCCAAGCTACATTTTGCTTGGCACCTGAAAACTTTGCCGATGCAATGTGCGCGGAATATCTACTTTGGGGAACGGCCACCTTCTTGTGGGTTCCGTGGAGCAGCAGCCGCGGGGAAAAGCAGGGATGTGGGAGGTGGGACGAGTGGCCTGGAATATGGGGAATTGCTATTATACGGACTTGGGATGTAGGGAATGGCACTTGGGATGCGAGCGACTTGTTTTTTTGTTTCCCCCAATGCCATTCATTGTCCTGATGTATTGGAGCGTGAAACCGCACTGCTAGTTCGGTTCCCAATGTGGCGGGAGCGGCATAGGGCTGGGGGATGCTTGGGGCGTCTATGACCCTGGTAGGGGATCGAAGCCCTCTTCTCGCGCAACTCTCGCTGGGTGCCGTACTGCTTATGGGTGTGTCTTCAAATGGTGGAACCCTAAAACGGGTACATCACAACCTACAAAAGACAGGTGGCCTTCACAAAGGATCGCACGCCTGTGTCACAAGCTTGCAGCCCCCTGTAACTCACAGGTCCTGGTCCAGTTTCTGCTTCGTGGCAATAGAAGGTCGCCACTGTTTTTTTTTGAGCCACGTCTGAGGGCAGTCCCTGATTGCTTTGCCTTGAGGCGTTTGGACGTTTTGTCGGCGCTCTTTGGAGGCTAAGCGCTAGTCATTTTCTCAGCCTGCGTCGATGGCAAGTTCCCCCTTTTTCATGTCACCATTCCAATTCATGCGGATAATTTCGGTAAAACAATCCGAATAGATGCGCGCAAATACGACGAGCAAATTTCACGATTTCGTTTTATAGAATAAATATATTTTATTAAATATTTCATTTATATTTAATTATATATATTTTATTCTATATAATTATTCTATTTATTATAAATCTTGGTAAATTAAATTTCTCAATATATTATTTTTATTTTTAATTTAAAAATTAAAATCGAATTCATAAATAATATATGCATCATCTATATTTATTTCTATTTTAAACATATTAATAATTCCAAAAATAAATCTATGTCACATCCTCCATCTTTTGCAGGAGTTTGGCTGGAACCTGCCAGGAAACCGTGTTCTTTGTGCAAACTTTGAGGCTACCTTTCAGCTTGAAATAGCAAAGGGATGTGAGTTATAAGGGGGGGTTCATTAGGTGGGGATTCATGTCCACCAACCACAATTCATGTCCACCAACCACATTTGAGGTGGTTAATTACCTATGTCGAATCCATAGCCAATTATGTGCCGTTTCCTGTGAGGGCCCAGGCCAGTCCCGACCACGGGGAGCTTTCGCGGGCTTTCGCGCGGGGCGGGGGGGTCGCCAGGATGACGAGCTGAGCTACGCTCTGGGCAAGCAGGGCAGCACCAGGAAGAAGCGACTCGGACGCGATGTTGGTGGAGTGCGGATTGCGGCGAGGTTACTGAAAACTAAGAAAGGGGTCATGAAATTCCCCGTTTTAAACAACATGTACCCCACCGACGATTCCGTGGTTTGGTGCACACACCCCTCTACGAAGACTACTTTTTCCTCTTGAAAAGAGGGTGTGTGCGCTTCCATGTTGGCGGGAGGGATTCTGGAGTCTGCTTCTCAGTTTCAAAATCGGTTGCTCTATCCCAAGGCCCTCAAGCCAAGAGATCCAAACCCGTTAGACAATCGGATCGTCCTATGGTTGTGCTTTAGTTCCCACTTGCGACCCTTCCGATCGGAGAGCAACCCTTTTGTGGCTTGCGCGGTGCTTGAAGGCCGCAACTGGGAAGAAGGAAAGGAGAAGCTCCCAAGAGCCGTGACCCGTGTTCCCCCCTTGTTTTGTAGGTCCCCCAGTAGTGCCCTTTTACTCTACCCGGAGAATAGATGGCTCAAAAAAATGGTCTGTGCCATCTACTTTTCTTCAGCTTAGATAATTTACACTCCGCGCGCCGGCGCCAGATAATTGGGGGTCAACCGGGATGCAAAATAGATGGCACAATTTTTTAGCCCCCTAAGAATAATTTACGGCACAATTCAGTGCGTCCACTCACGCTCGCTCACTGGCTCACTCACTCACTCACTCACTCGCTCACTCGCTCACTGTACCCCTTTTCTTTGGGGGAGGGTTCCCCCACTAAAACAGACTACAGAAAAAAGGGTACCCTTATTCTAATCTCTCTACTGGAGGACCTAGTTTTTGTTACTTTACAGACTTGTCCGTCACAACTTCTGGGTTGTGGGATCAAGGGGTTTATCCAACCACTTCGGGGATACAAGTGAATCTCCTCCATTGAATGGGGGGATGCCCTTTCTGCTGTACACAGAAGTGTTCATTTGTTATAGGCCTGGTTAAAAATCAGCCAACGAATGAATTGAGCCTCTCCTTTCTCCCTGGCCGATTGTACCTCGAACAGCACTGTCCATTCTGACGCAACATTCTGACAGTCCCCATTACCGTATGGGTACCCGGATCCCAAGCCACCTTGCCTCAACGCGCTCAACATCCTGATGTGGCGGGACAGGGGTGGGTAGGAAGAAAACACGGGGCCAAGTAGCTAATATATGCTTTTTTCTCCCAGGATCATACGATTGTTTAGTTGAATAGTTCCTCGCAACTCCTTTCCATGTATATGTGGACGTGGCTTGAAAACTAAACAGCTGGGGCAAACCGCAGGTTTTGGCCCATATTTCCACTTAGGGTAAATTTTGGGAATAGGATTTGGAGCCACAGCCATGTGTTCTCCCTTTCTTTACATTGGAAGAGGAACAATGCCTGAGAGTGGGAGGCTCCCTCCTCCGGCTGAGCCCAAGCTTGTCCTGTTGGGTTTTTCTTAAGCGACCCAAAAGGAGTGCCTTTTGAGAAAGGAACCACACGTCCAACTTCGCGTGTTACACCTGTGTAGGTGGTTATAGCCGGATACTAAAGATGAGTCCCCTGACAAGCATGCTTAGAATCACCTGCTGGTGTGTTGAACAAGCATAAGATGCAGCGTGTTTTGTCGAGGTTCCCCCTTTGAGGGTTACAATTTGGCCCCATACTCACGGAACCTCCCGTGAAAAAGCGAGAAAGCACAGGTGGAGCTTCCGGTGCAACATGAGGAGACTACCTAGCCCAGTTTAAGGGAACCCAAAGGGGCCCGTCTTTTTTCCCTCCGGCCGAACTTTTGTTGGGACCTCGAACCATCTGCAAACTTTCGGCAAGTGCAACGTTTTAAGGGGGAACTCCAGGCTCAACCTGCCCCGACCCTTCCCAAACCAGAGGCTTCCCTTTGCTCAAGAACATGATTTCCTGTTGGTTTTAAAGGGAATCGATTTCACTACTGGACCGACAAGCAAATGGAGGGGTTTTTAGGGTTCCATTTTGGGTGCTGATTTTTGACCCACGCAGCTAATAGTTCGACCCGCCGATCTTTCGAATCCCCATATGGGGAGCTATGGAGCCTCAATTACGGGCGTGCTTTGAGGACTGCCTTGGGATGGCTTCCGAAAGTTTTCACGGATTTTACCACATGAGCTACTGTGGATGGACTACAGAAACCTGGAATGATCTGATTCCCATGTAAATCCTTCTGGTTTCAAGCATGGTTTCTTTTTTGGTGCGAAATGGATTTCGTCTATCGCCGATTTGTTCTTTTCCTTTCAGGGAATCGCCAGGTTCATTCCATTTCTCATTCCCTCATTGTTTTTCGCGGCGTTTCCGCGTTCCGGAGAGAAAAACCATGTGTTCAATCCCCAGGTTGTTTCCATTTCTTCTTCCCTCAGTTTCTGCGTTGTTTTGGCCCTCGTCCACCCATGAGCTATGGAGGGCGGTTCGCATACGCCAGGGCTGGTTGGGCGCGGGTTTGGGCGATTCGTTTTTCTTCAAATCAGGTTGGCACTGGCCTCGGGTTGCATCATCCAATACGTGGGCCACGTGTGCTTCCTCGCCGGCACCATGGCGGAGCGGCGCCGCGCGAAGGAGCCGGCCGCGGGAGGTCTCCAAGTGCCACCAGAGTTTTGACCGTGGCTCGGGGGTGGGTCTCGCTTTTTGATGATACTTCTGTTTTTTTTTTGGGTGGTGGTTTGAAAAGCATCACGTTTTTTTTTTTTTTGGGGTGGGGTGGTGGTGGTGATGGTGGTAGTTTGGAAAGAAACCGACAGGAGAGTTGAGCACAAACCATATGAGGCTCCGTGGGAGCTTTTGCCAGACAGGATCCTTTTTGCACGTCTCAACAGGTAGCCCTTTTTTTGGATGGGTTTTCAGGGAATCCACCTCCTTGGGGCCTTGCCATAGTCAAGCAACCTAGCTTTGGGGGTTCTAGGGACGCGGTTTTGATTGTCATTGGCTTCAAGAGGAATCCCAAAGAAAGCATCTTGGTGGTTAGCTACCAATTGCCCTAGAATCCGCTTTAGACCACCAGTTGGTGGGTGCTCTACCCCAGTATTCATGGGGTTTCATCCATCCGGACCAAGGGAACCAAGCGGTTTCATCCCCACCCCCAATGGATCTGGGGGAGAGAGCTCAAGAGTTCCATGTTTGATCCTCCCTTATGGGGAATACTAATCCTGTGACTCCATGGGGGTATGGGTCAATATTTTTTTCCCCACCAGTGGACCGCAGGTTCGAGTCCTTGGTTCCATTTCCCAGACCTTCCATTTCGGGGTTGCCCAATTTTTGACCACATGAGAGGCGTGAGTGTCCTGTTGGGGTGAGACGTTTTCAGGGGAAAGAACTCGGGAGCCCTGAAAATCCGCTCAGTCCTTGGTTCCATCTACCAGGGGTTCCATTCGGGTTTACCCCATCTTTGACTTTGGGGTGGGATGTTTTCCGGGGAAATGACCCTGAAAAATCTCCCCCCGTGGGCTCCGAAATCCTTCCGCTTGTCCGTGAGGAGTTCCTGGACTGGCTGCTCCAGCAGCGCCGCGGCCAGGTCACCGTGAACAACATCTCGGAGCGGGATGATGTCACGGAGGCCGTGGATGCGCGCGAACCTCTTACGCTTCGGCGGTTCAAGCAGCCATGCTTTTTCGGGTGTTCTCTTTTTTTTGGTTGGTTTAGTGGCAGTTTCCATTGTTTGTTGTTTTCTCCTTTTGGGTGTTTAGTTGGTTTAGTGGCAGTTTCCATTTAACCCCACTCAAGGTTCATATTTTTTGGCAGGGGAGCTGAGGGCCCAGTTACGTCCAACTTGTGCACAGGGCCACGAGACCAAAAAGGGGAACATGTGCTGGGGGCAATGCTCATGCAGTACAAGAACCCCTGTTCAACGGGTTGCCTTTTGAGGACTTCTCATTTTGAAGATCGATTTTTGAGGCGTCCCTTCAACATGGTTGTTGTTAGGAAACATGTTTCCCATTTTTGCTTGTTGTGGTTTAGTGGTTGAAATCCAATCACTTAACTGCTAATATTTAAATTTGTGCTCCCCTTCCAACGTCAACCAAGTCAAACTGTCATGAGTTATGAGGGTCATTTTGAGAATGCCACTTTGTCAGAAACAGATACTTCGGAAAGGGGGGACAGGCGTATTTGGCCCCACTGTGGATGGTTGCGAAATCCATTTCGCCGCACCTAGGGAAGCCTGTCTGATGATTCCCCTGCAACAAACGTTATGGTTGCACCCATGGCTTCTCAGGTGCGAACTGGATTCCGGTTCACCCAGGGTCACTCCGGGTGTTTCCCTTTTCTGATATCGCTGTCATCTTCCCTTGGGATGTTTTTGGAGCCGGAGCTGAGCTTGGAAAGTTTCAGGTGTACTATGTGTCTATGTGTTGACCGCGGGTATCCGGTTTAAGGTTGGTCCAGCCAGGTGCCCTTTTACCGTTTCTTCTTTGGGGGGGGGGGGCTCCCCTACGAAAATAGACCACTGAAAAAAGGGAACCCTTATTCTAACCTCTCTACTGGAGGACCTAGTTAAGGTTGGTGTAAAGGGACGCCAAACATAAAGCCGAATCATTTTGGTATTCCTCCCATTTCGGAATACCGCCATGGACCAGAATCAAGCATTGGATATTTTTGGTTGGGGGCGAAGGCTGAGGGTTTGGTCGTGAAATATGGATGGATTGCCCCTGATCGCCAAGGTACAGGTTTGTGCTATGACTTGAGGTTCGACCGCATGAAATTTAGCGCTCAATTCGTGTACCTCTCGACTTGGTCAACTGATCGAAGATGCGAGCTCCTTGAAAGTGATTGGTGGACAAGACCAAATCCCACCAAGATGGGTATGGGTCAAAATTGAACAGGAGGGGTTACGCAGGTTTTGGTTCATGTTTCCATTTACCAGGGTTCCATTTTGGGGTTACCCGGTTTTTTGAGCCACAGCCATATGGGTATGGGTCAATATTTTAACCAGGAATTGGACCGCAGGTTCTAGTCGTCGAGTCCATTTACCAGGGCAAGCCATTTTGCTTGACCCACAGCCATCTTTAGACCCGATCTTCCGAATCTGCCGCAATCCCCATGTCATATTGGGAGCTATGGAGCCTCAATTACCAGCAAAATCACTGGGCTTTGTTGAGGGCTGTTTTGGGAAGGCTTTCAAGGGAGCCCGAAAGCAATTGGAGTTTCGCACACCCGTGAGCTACTGTGGGTGAACGAAATCCTGCACCACCTAAGAAGTCCTAGAATGATGATTCTCCTGTCAATACAAACAAACAAATGGTTTCCCATGGCTTCAAAGTGCTGAGAAATGGATTTCGTCCAGTCAAATCTTTTGCGTTTCCCTCAAAAGACCATCCACCCGAAGTCGGGCACCGGGTCACACACAGCCGCCAAACAGAGGCGAGGTGGGGGGTGTCGCGTGAGGGTTCCCTGCGTTGGTGGTGAAAAACGGACACCACCATTTTGGGGGGGTCCCCGCAGAAAAAAGAACCACCCATGGTGCCCTTTCGAGTTTTTCTTTTCAAGGGAAACCCAAAAGGACATCATTCACTTCTTCTTCTTTTTAAAGAACACCATTCATTACTTCCTTTTCTTGGGGGGGTGGTCCCCCCCCCCTCGAGAAAAAGATTGGTACATGGAACCCCTCCCCCCCTCCATTTTTGTTTTTTCGCCCGCAGGTCTTCATCCCGGAGAACTGCAAGGGTTGGGTGACCGGGAACCGGGGCAGCGAGCTGCGACGCATGGAGCTGGAGACGGGGACCTATATGTTCATGGCCTTGGACAAGCGCGGGGAGGCCATGAAGTTGGGCGGAGGGGACAACGAAGAAGCGGGGGATAGGGAGGAAGGGGGGGGGGAAGGGGGGGTTGGTGGATGCGGGGTTGGGGGGAAGTTTCGGGGTTTGGGGGTTTGGGGGGGGGGGGGGAAGTTTGGGGGTTTGGGGGTTTGGGGGGGGGTTTGGCGGGGTTACGTGAGGCCCCCCACCTACCCAAAGGAAAAACACTGGGGAGGCCTGCAATATACGACTTCCCTTGTACAGGGAAGGGTCCCTTTGTTGGGCAAGGGGTTTGGGGGCTGCTCATTTTTTGGAGTGCATGGACTTTGAACTTGGTAGAAGCATTTTAGTGGCATTTTTGAAAGGTTATGACTGTTTTTAGCCAATCCAGGAAGTTAGGCTAGTTGGTGTATGGTTTTTTGCTTGGGGTTTGGTGGGGGTAGCCTTTGCTGGTTCGTTTCAAGCGGAAGCAACAGAACAACTGCCCATTTTGGGATTGGCTCACACAGAAATTGATACCCGCACATTGCCATTTGTTGACTTCGGACCCCCGCAACTTTCCCGAGTCCCTCTATTTTGACGCCCTTGACGTTTCAACCGTTGCGCAACCCATGTTTCGACCATTGGTTTTGAACTCAACCTCCTTTTCGGTCTCAAAATATCGGAGCCCTCAAAATGCTTGGTTTCCTTTTGGCCTTTCTCAAGCCACCAAAGGCTCCCAGGTCCCTCAAAAGACGGGAAGCCCACCTTTTGGCATAGGCGTCCTTGTCAGGTTAGTTTGGTAGGGCTCCACTGGCTTTGGGTTTTATGCCCCATCTACCAGGGAAACCCATCGATTTGTCTGAAAGGTCACCTACCCCCTTGCCGAAAGCCGACCTTACCTGTTGGTTTCACTTTTGTGCTGGCCCCTTCCCGATGTTCGGGCGATTTACGGAGCATCTCAATTCCGCGCCCCCTTAAAAATGGAAGTGATCTCCATTTATGGTAACCCATTTCCCCTTCTTTACGTGGAGATCCCAGATCTAACTTCAATCGGGTCCCGGACGCCCCCCTCTCCAAACCCCCTTTCTGTGTCCCTCCAAACCCCCCCCCCCCCGCACACTCCCACAGACCAGCTCGCTCGCAAACTTTGCCCTCTCTCGCGCGCGGCGGCCCCGCGCTCCGCGCGGAGCTCGCTGGGAGGAGCGGCTGCTCATCTTCTCGGTGGACTCGGGCTCCAAGACCTCGGAGAAGGGCCGCGCGGCGGCCGAGCGTCTGGTGAACGAGATGATCCAGGCGGGTGGTTGCGGCGGGGACGAGGAACTCCGGCGGGGACTCCGAACAACCGGGGGTTTTGGGCCCCCCAAAAAGGGTGATGTAGATAGGTGTGAAATGGGGCGCCCTTGGAAAAATGATGGTGGTGGGTTTCCATGAGCAAACGCCGCCCCAAAAAATGTAAGCACCCGCATATTGCCCTGCCATAAATAGCCGGCTGAACCGTGCACTAGTGGGAGCCCTCCCCAAGCGTGAGGTTTCGGGGGAACTGGTCTTGGATTTGAGGCTCGGGCCCTTTTTTTGGAGGTTGTGAGGGGAAGCCCCAGGAAATCGATCATCCTGGTTGGACGCAACGTGGCCCTCCTTGGTATGTAAAGGGCTTTGTACAATAAGCTCAGGTGACGTCCCCAACAGCCTGCGGTGCTCGTTTTGGTACTTTTTAGTGCTCGCACCACCCCGCAGTCCTTGCAGAACCTCGTGGAACCCTGGTGGAACCCTAGTGGAACCTTGCCTCAGGGCCGCCCCGGACCACCCCGGAGCCTATCTGGGCTGAGACCCCAAAGCTTTCAGCTGTTGGGGAAAAAGGGAACTGCATCATGTTCGCGTAGGCAATTCAGGTGGGGGGTGTAGGCTCGCGTCGGTATCATTATGTTTGTTTCCTTGAGTCGGCGCCCGCGTAGGCAAGCCGGGGATGATACATCATAGAGCTGTGCATTTTTTTTCATGTGTGGTTGAGGCCACGCGAGGGAGAGTGGCCACATGGTAACTATGAGACTTGCATCGCTGCGTGCTAGCCCGCGTAGGCTTCCCAACTCTGTCCCTTTCCGGGCGGCCACTGCTGCTGCCGCTCATGTTAAGTTTCCCGTTTCAGTCTGGTGCCAAGCGGTGCACGTCGAGTACTACACTGCGACTTTGGAGCTGGAGCTGCCACAGCGCATTTCGCGTATCGCAGTGAACCTCACTAGCCGCAAGCGGGCAGTGAACGACTCGGCAGAGCTACAAAGCTCCAGGCGTGGAGGCTTTGCGTAGGCGCTCGCGTAGGCGCGCGGGCCATAGGCCCCGAGCACCCCAAAAAACCACTGCTTTCAAATTGGGATATCCCCCAGTAGCCAACCAGTCATGGAGCTCCAAGTGGCTATTCTAGGTCCCCCAAGCTAGGTGCCCTTTCTCACCGTTTCTTTTTTGGTTGGGAGATGCGGTTCCCCTACTAAAATAGACTACACAAAAAAAGAGACGGTACCCTGATTCTAGCCTTTTTGTACTGGAGGACCTAGCATTGGTCGGGGGGCTCCCTCATGGCCCCCTCTTGGAGGTCGCACGAGTCGTCAATACTGTGGATGGACGAACTCCATTTCGCACCACCGTTCAGAAATCCTGGTGTCTGATGATTCTCTTGTAAACACCAACAAACCATGGCTTCCGCATGGCTTCAAAGGAATGACGGATTTGGCCCACCCACAGTTGTTCCTCTTGCCAGTCTCGTTTTTCTGGGCAAACCAACATTTTTTTTTTCCAGGGGGATCGAATCATTCCAGGCGTTTCTTAGGTGACGGATTTCGTCCATCCACAGTCTCACGGGCGCTTTTTTGCCAGGAAAAGCTGCGAGGGGACGAAGGGCGCGGACGCTCCGATTCCCGGCCGCGCTCAGATTCCAGGCGCGGAGGGGGCTTCCCTTTTTTCCGTTTTTTTTTTTTTTTTTTTTTTTTTTTTTTTTTTTTTTTTTAAATAAACAATACAAATATGTTTTTAATTGTCCCCTGCTGGTTTTACAGGGAATCTATGACTACTGGATTTTGTTATATATATATATATATATATTTGCAGGGGGGGTAAGCAAATGCAAGACACATATTCTACAGGATGCTCCTCAGTCTGCAGGGCTGTGGGAAATGGAATCCACTTCCATGATGCAACAGAGAGGGCTTCCCAAGACCACCCCCCCCCCCTCGTAGCATGGTTGCGAGGGTTTGCTTGATCCAAGCCGCCGGCCAAACTGAAGTAAACCTTTTGGTACCTGTTGATTTCCGCCAGGGAGAAAAACTCTCGATTGGAGCAGCGCGGTAGCGTTGGTTTCCACTTTGGGTTCCTCTTTCATGGGGGGATTGGGGTTTGAACGCTTGAACATGGTCGGTGTACCTTTGCAGGGGACCCTGAACAATTGTGGCTTTCCGTTTGGTTTCCCTTTAAAACCACTAACAAAAGCCCTCAACAAAGATGCATTCGAATGAATGTTTTAATGTTGCGTTTGGTTGCCATTTGTAGTGGGTGGCCAACAAAAAGCGGAACCATTTGAGGCAAGTAAAGTGGGCATCGATGGGAATCAAGCGCTTTGGTACAAGAGGCGCATGTTCCACATGATTCCATGTGGATTATTTTTCGATTCAAGGTAGGGATTTGCTTCATTTGAGACATAGGATTGCAGAGACCCGTTCACATATGGGTAAAAACATGGTATTTACAAGGATCCACTCACCGTTCAGCTAGAACCATCAGGGGCCAAGTACGGCAAGTAAGCAAGCAAGATCGATGACCCCGGATCGCGGTCGAATACGGGGATTCCAACTTGTTCCTCTACTTTCAAGATTCAGGGCATCCCGGTAGATCTATCAATGAATCAAAGCAAGATCTGGCTGCCGGCAAGGAACCCCCTCAAATTGGTTGGCTTCCCGGGAACCAGTTTGACTGGGTTCTCTTCCAAGACGACTTCATATTTCTGGGTAGGCGAAAAGTATGAAATCTAATTTTCTGCGTAGCCCAAGTTAAACCCAGTTGCCCAGTGGTGCCCTTTCTTCAACCTTTTTTTTGGGAAGGGTGTTCCTTTGAACTCAACCAACCAAAATGTATTTTTTTCCCGTGGAAATCCACTGGGCATCTGAGTTCCTTCTCCGTCTTCTCAACCAACCAAACAAAAACCAAACAAAGGATGCCCTTCTTTCCCCTGGAAATCCACCGGGCATCTGCGAAAAGCGTTCGTTGGCCCAACCGGAGGGCCGTCTCCTGAGAGGCGCCGTCGCTCCCGCACCCCGCCGCGCCGGCGCTCGCCCTCTCCGCGGCGAAGGTCCCCGTCGCGGCGCAGGTCCCCGGCTGGGGCGGGGGGTAGAAAGCGGAGAATCCGCGGTAGGTCGCGTCCTCAAAGCCCGGGTAGGTGAACCAACCATACATAGGCGTCGGCCGCCTTTTAATGAACCAGTCGGGTATCTGGAGGGTATTTAGGGACAATTCCAACCAGAAATCGCTGCGGCCGCCTTTTCATAAATCATTCTTTGCATGGTTCTGGGTAGACCATTTGAATGCCGGGTTTTGATGTATGACTCAGGAACTGGAGGGTAGCTGGGGACAATGCGAACCCGAAATTGCTGCGGCCGCCTTCATAGTTCATTATTTACATGGTTCTGGGTAGGCCATTTTAATACGGGGTTTTGGTTGTGACTCAGGTAAACTTGTTGTAGAGCGGAAATAGGAAACCGCTCTAAAAAACTAACAATCCCAACCCCCGAAGCTGAGAACTGAGGTAGTTTCGCTTATTGACTTTGTAGAGAATCAATGATGCCAGATGGTGTAAGCCTGTACTCTCCTTTAGGCCATCTTTGACATGAGTCTCCCTTGAGGGGGTGACGTGCTTTTTTCGATTCTCCGGACACCGGTCCAATGCGACACCTGGAATTCCTGGAGCAGTCTGATCAGCGGTCGACGTTTCGAGAGTCGAAGGCTTCGAAACCGAAAGCCACACACCGCGCAGGGGACGTTCGGACTCCAGGCCGGTCCGTTCCGGGAAGCGATGGAATGGGAGGTTGGTGGGTCTGACCTGACGATTTCAGGGCTCCATCGGCTATGATCATATACTATATTCATCGTGACTACCGCGTATGTATACTGTATATATATACACATATACACACATACATTTACATATATATGTATATATGTGCCATAGATCTGACTGGGGAACACCCTCTATGGCAGGTGGGTCCAGCAAACGATCAGAACTTGATCAACAATCATTCCCATAGCTGGGTCAGTGTCTCACTTCCTGAGTTCGGGGACTCTAGTTTTTTTTGGGAAGACCATTCCAGTGGTCAGCAATAAGTTCAGACTTTTTTTGGCCCATCTACTCAGGAAGTGAGGTGTAAGGTGGCTTTCATTTTGAGGTGCTTCTAGGTTGGAAACAATTTTTGAGGAGAAGGCCGCACCAGTCGGAGGAGTTGTCACAACTCCAATCAAGCTGATCACTTTCCTACTAGGGAGTCGCCCGTGATTTGCGCGTGGCCTGCCGGATCAATGTGAATTTTGACAGTAAAGTGAGTCTTGTATTTGAGGGCTCACTTGTTCAAGGCGAACCAACAGACCTTAGATCCTTCAACCCCTCAGTTTTGGTGCACTTGAAATCGTGGCCTCAAAGGTTGTTGGTTTCATGTTCCGTTTTGTTGTTTGGTTCTTGTCACTTTTGGGGAGCTGCAAAGAACAACGGAACGTGTCTCGCTAACATTCCTGCGGCGTTTGGAAAGCGAGGGTGGGGGCGGAAGAAGTATGAGGGCAATTGGTAAAGGCTTTAGGCACTCTAATATCATTTGGCTGTGGCTCAAAAAGCGGCACCAAAATGGAACCCTGGTAAGTGGAAACATGGACCAAAACCTGGGGAACTCCTCCTGTTTAATTTTGAGCCAAACCCATTTGGCAACACAGCAGGTGCACATGAATCCATCAAGTTCGTTCCATTGGCAATCAACATGACGTTGAGTGAGTGTATTTGTGCTCAAGACGATTGTATTTGAGTTGCTGCGCAGGGCAAAGGAGGGATATCGATCTCTCCCATTGTGAGACGCACCCACAAAGATATGCATAGGAAAATACACATATATATATATATATATATGTATACATATATAATATATACATATATATATATATGTATGTACACATATATATATATATATATATTATGCAACCGGTAGAACCATGGCGACTCAGAAACCAAGACACCGATTCGGAAGTTCATAACTGTTGTTCCCAGTAGCCTCGGCGAATTCTTTACGGTTTGGAAAGAGCACAGCGGAAAATTGAGCTTGAGGCTGCCACTTGCGGCGAGTCGCCCGGGAAATCAACTTCAACATGACAAAGTGTTTGTTATAGTCACAGGGCTGGAATTCCCACTTGGGCACTGCAGAACGGCCACTTCCTACCACCAGAGCTTCTTTCCAGTTCGCGGCAGGAGGCGATGAGCGGCATATGAGGGGGGACTTGGGAGGCCCGGATGAATCGATTGGAAACGACCGGAGGGACAAATTTCTTTCCACAAGCCACAAGGATCACGACGAGCCACTTGAAAGAAAGGCCTCCCACAGTCGAGACAGGAATTCCACTGGCACAGGACTTGCCACACGCCAAGCGCCAGAGGCGGCCTTGGCGGAATGTTATGCTGACATGCGACAGGCGCGGAACTGATACTCTTATATGACTTGAAGCTGTTGGTTGTCCTTTGCACCCGGGCGTTCATGCGGCAATGCGGCGCTCGTGGCTGAATGTTTGTGGCGGTTTGGTTTGACTTTGTTCGTTTCAAGCCGCGGCAGCTCGTGTTTATCATCGAAGCCGGAACGGGAGAATTGCATGGACAACTTTTGGCATCGTCTACGCACTGTAGATCCATCCCGCGGCCGGTTTACGTAGAGCAAGGTGGTCTCCGCGTCTTCAGTCCAGCTTGCGTCGCAATAGTATTCACGGATGTTGCATTGATGGGCATAATTATTTGCGACGCTCTCCAAGAAATTGCTCCTAAATTGGCAGACAAGGATTTCAGCCAATCCAAGGGCAAATGATGGAGGTTCAGCAACTTGGGGTGCCAAAAAGTTGCTGATGCGGTGTCGCTTTGCTATTGGCGCCATGCTCTTTCCTCACCTAGGATGTGTAATTCAAACAAGCATTACTTGAGACTTCACCTTTTGGGAAAGTTATGTTTTCCCCACTAAACAGCAACAAGCTACATTTTTGTGCACTGGGGGTCGAGCCATGATGGGTTCCCCCATGCCCCCCGAAAGGTTCTCACCTGAAGGTTCTCTAGTCAACCAAGCGGTGGCAACAACATGTTTAACTAGCCTGTTTGCCCTTTTGCCCTTTTGAGTTCCTCCATTTTCCCTTGCAACCAACTTTGGTTTTTGTTTTTTGGAGGGGAAGTTCTCGACCGGTCCAACTCACTTACCCATGTTAGGAGGGAATCCACTATCCTCAAACAACTTCCTAGGGGAAAAGCTTACATACTTCTTCTTCTTCTTCTTCTACCCCTGGTGGGGGCAATGCCAAATTCAGGGTGGTTGCTGGTTCAGCGCGGATTTGTTTCTCCTCCAAACCTCGAAGTATGATCAAACCGCAAAGGTTGACTGATTGGTTTGGTCACTTTTGTTTTTCCCCTTCAGGGAAGGTCTTGGGATCCCTTCGCTTTCTTTCGCCTCGCTTTTCTTTTTCCGACTCGCGGCTTGCGGCCCTCGGCTTTTGGGGGATGAGTCAACCATGTTTTCAGGAAAACAAATCAATCCTGTGCTGCCAACGGGGTCCCGTTCGCGGTGATTTCGCAGGGAGTTTGAGCTGCAAGTTTGATCCCCCGCGCAAAGTACAGCGATTTACTTGCAACTTCGGACACGGTTCCTTGCTGGCGCCGCTAGGGAATTCGCTTGTTTTCTACCGGGTGAAATGCGGCCACGCAGAGAACATGGTGCTTCGATTGCTTCAGGCTTCTGTTACCGTTGCGCACGCGTGCTTTCTTCTCCTTGTGCCTCAAAGATGGTTTAAAGTGTGACTTGGGGGCTGCGGAGCAGCTCTCACGACAGCCACTTGAAGATTGTAGGATGGCTTGTTTTCGTCCTCGAGTTTCATCTCCAACAAAAAGCTTTTAGAAGGCCAGAGTTCGCCGTTATGACTCCTGCTTATCAATCTAGTGCCTGTTTGGAGTAGCCTAGTGAACATCTTGACCGGGCTTGCCCAGCACTGAATTCGGGCGTACAAAGCGGCGACGGATGGATGACGTCAGCACACCTTCCATCAGCCTGATGACGCCTGGTGTTGCTGTAGTGTTATTTTGTTTCGCAACCCGAAGTCTTCTAGGCCCCCCAGTAGTGCCCTTTTACCGTTTCTTTTTTGGGGAGATCCGGTTCCCCTACTAAAATAGACCAATCCGAAAAAAGTTGGCACCAACTTATTCTATCCTCTCAAAAATTTGGATGACCTAGCCAAAAACGGGCTTCCAGCTGGATCTCCGAACGCCAGCCTGGCTACAGCGTTGGGCTTCGGATCCTTCGGATCCTCGGATCGGATCCCGCCGGCCATGTCGAAGTTCTCCTTCACCGATGGCGTAGGCCGGCTCCGCGGCGCTAATGCGCGCTTGCGCGCGCGCGGGTGTGCGTTTAGACCCGGCGGCTGGGGATCTGGGTGTTCAGCCCAGCCGCCCGGTTCCTTAGGCTTGTAGTTTTTTTGTTTTTGTTATATATATATATATATATGCTATCCCCCCCCCAAAGATCGACCATTTTCTGTGTTTTGAGAAAGATGCGGTGCATTATTGCAAGAAACAGATGTGCATATGCTGGGGTCGACATTCAAGTGCAGTGTTGTTGAGGACGGTTGCAAAATTGCGCTCCTGCCAGGGCTGCAACACTGCAAGGCTTTGCAAAACTGCAGCCCCTGGCAACCTGAAGTTTCAAAACTTCAAGAGTTTCCAAGACACTGCCCAAGCAAAGCTGCCAAACTACAGACCTGGCAAAGCAAGCCTGCTAAACTGCAGGCGCTGCAGGCCTTGGTTGCAAAACAGACTTGGCAGGGCTTCAGCTCCAACACTGCAAGGCTTTGCAAAACTGCAACCCCTACCAACCTGCCAAAGCACTGCCCAAGCAAAGGTGCCAAACTACAGACCTGGCAAGGTTGCAAAATCGCCAACCTGCAAGGTTCCAACACTGCAGGGTTGCAAAACTACAGCCCTTGCCAACCTTGCCAACCTGCCAAAGTTTCAACACTGCAGGCTTCCCACTTGCTGCAAGGTCTGCCAAACTACAAATAAGGCTGCAAAATCCAAACTGCAAGGCTCCAACACTAAACTGCAGAGCAAGGTTGCAAACTACAACCTCTTGCTAACTCAACACTGCAAGACTTCCCATGCAAGGCTGCCAAACTACAGACCTGGAGGTTGCAAAATTGCCAGTCCAATCTGCAACCAACTGCACCAACAGTGAACTAAAGACAAGCGAGTTCAAACATAAGTTCCAACACAGGCCTGTTTGCAAAACAAACTTGGGAGCTCTGTCTGCCAACGCTCCCACACTGCAAGGAAGGCTTGAAACTTGGTTGCTGGCCCAGCGCAACGTTCCACAATTTCCAACAAGGCGGCCAATCTGCAGGGCAAGGCTGCAAAAAACTGCAACCTGCCAACCTGCCAAGTTTCAATACCCTGGCAAGGGTTCTTGCCACCTGCTACAAGACTTCCACCACCAAACTGGCACTTCCAGCACACTGCCCAAGCAAGCTGCCAAACTGGGTTCCAGCTCAAAACTGCAACCCACTTGGCAAGAGTTGAACACTAAGGCCACTGCAAGACTTGAGCGCCTCACCTGCCAAAGTTTCAACACTGAAGGCTTCCCTGCTGCCCTGGCAAGGCTGCCAAACTACAGGCAAGCAAGGCATTTCCAACAAGAGTTCCAACACTGCAGGCCTTGGTTGCAATACAGACTTGGCAGGGCTGCAAAACTGCAGCTCTGTACGCCAAAGCCCCAACACTGCAAGGAAGATGCTCAGGGGCGAAGGGCAAGAAACCCATGAAGCTACGAAGAAATCAAAAAATAAAAATTATCAAAAAAATCAAAATTCAAAAAAATCAGGGTCCTGGGAGAGAATGCCCAGGTCAGAATCTGGAAAAGTGAAAAACCTCGAGAAAATCAAAAATAATAATGTTTTTTGATTTCTTCGAGGTTTATTCATTTTCCGAGATTCTGACCTGGGCATTCTCGCCCAGGACCCTGATTGTTTTGATTTTTTTTATTTCTTCGGGTTTTTTCAACATGTTCATCCTGTGCAGCCAAAAGGCAGATGCAAGATGAAGTTGGGAAGCCAGAAGCCCGAGACCTTGCAGATTCTGGGATGTGTCACCAGAGATAAAACACAGAAAATGGTCGATCTTTGGGGGGGTACCATATATATATATAACAAGGGGTTTAGTAGTAGTTTCCACAAAACCAACAAAGGCCAGACTCTTGGCAGGGGATCTGAGGACAGCCCAGTTTTGTTTCTTGATCGAACATGGCAATTTCATGGGCGTGTGGCTTGTCTCTCCCAATGGTGCAATGTTTGAGTGGGAATGATCAGGACTAGGTGGAAGTAAAGGGCATGTGCCACTGTGGATGGACGAAAACCACTTCGCACCACCGAAGAACCCCTGGCAGAATGGTTTCAACCATGGTTTCAAAGCGGTGCGAATGGATTTCGTCCATCCACGATATGAACGCCCGCACTGATAGTGCTGGCCACTGGAGAGTTTTATTGAATCATCTATTTGGCGGATTCAAGCAATTTTGGCCCACATTTTGTCATAGTTTTCTTTTGGTGGGGCGATGTTTCCGGGACTGTCTTCCCAGCTCCAACATGGAGAATCGCACAGGTCTTACATTCTGTTTGACAGCAAGTGCGTTTATATTATATGCGCGCCCCTTTGCGGCTTCACTTGTTCCAGTTGTTTCGGGACAGCTGTACCTGACATGGTTGTCCGTTGTTTTTTGGCTTGCTTGGTCGCTTGGTTGTTTGCTTGCGTTTGTGTTTTGTTTGATATTTGTTTGATATTTGTTTGATATTTGTTTGCTTGCTTGCTTGCTTGCTTGCTTGCTTGTTTGCGTGTTTGCTTGTGTGTTTGCTCGCTTGCTGGCTTGTTGGTTTCGTGGTTTGTTGGTTTGGTATTGTTTGATTTATTTTAGTTTGTGTGTTTGTGTTTGTTCTGAATGCGTCCCTTCTAACCTTTGGAGAAATCTGAACGTGTCAGCGTTCGATATTGGGTCAGAATTGGGTGGAAGCTCTTCCGAAGATATGACACTATTCGCCAAAGACATGGGTAGCTTGGCGCTTTGCCTTTCCAGGGCTCTAGAAGGAAGGCTGCCGGGAAAGAGCGGGGAAGTTGCGCGAGCTTTCTGGCTCCGACAGAAGCCAAGGGACATGGCCCAGCCTTGAGCCTTGCGGCGGAGTCGACCAAATTTCCGAAGGATGCATATGGGTGTGGTTGTCAAAATTAAACCAGGAATCGGACCACAGATTTTGGTCCATGTTGCCACTTACCAGGGCAAGCCATTTTGGGGTTACCCTATTTTTGACCCACAGCCACATGGCATTCTGCTCTTTGATTTTTTTCGCCTGCGCATGCGCCAGCTCTGCTTCCAGCAGTGTGCAGGGTCTCCCAAAGTAGATCCCGGCCCCAAAGCCCCCACAGCCCCGGGCAGGCGCAGAGGATGAGGCCAATGGGTTTTGGGGGTGGCAAACGATCATAGCTTGGGCTGGCAAACGCCTTTGCATGGTTGGGCTTCAGCGCTCTTCCGGCGATTCCTCAGATTTTTCTGTGTGGCCCTCCGTGGAATCAATCTGAAGTTGACATAAGGAAGGGGGAAGGGGAATTGGAAATGGGAGTTGGAAAGTGTGGCCTATGCTCTCATGCAGATCAGTGTATAACCCCCAAACAAGCTGATTAAACTGTTCGAGGAAACTCCTTTTTGCTAAACCTCTTCTTGGCACTGCTGCAACTGCAAAACAGGGAAGTAACCTGCGAAGCCTCTGAACGAGATATGTTCAACGCTTATGGAAGCAAGGTGTGCATTTGCCCAAAAGAAGCGAACAAGGTGTTTGGCTGCAGATCCATGGCCACTCCAAAACATCAGCCCCGAAAAGATGTTTGCCTTTTTTCCAGGGTCGCCGGGTCTTTCGCAACTGGCCCAGCCAGTCGCGCTGCATGAAAGAAGGCAACAGAAGGGCACCAGTGCCTATAAAAGTCGCAACAGAAGCAGCGCCGAGCAACAATTTGCGGATTGGAGCTTTGCATACTCCCCTTGTTGGATTCCCTCCCAACCTTTGTTTCTGATTGAGAGTACAATATCTGTGCTGGAAAATGCTTGCTATAATCATCAGCTTGTGATGTTTCTCCCCCACCACGTTGCTATGTGAGCGTGATTCACCGCAAGTTGCAGGGAAGGTGTTCCAATTCTTTAAAACGATTGACCTCCGATAAAGCAGTCAAATTGCGTGCAAATATATGAAATGTAATTTCCCAGACGCGTTCGGACCCCTTTTGACGGCTCCCTGTCAATTTGCAGGGGTGTTGCGGCAAGTGAGATGTAAGCGAGGTATGTGAGTCACGCATGAGACGCTTTCTGAAGCTGCACGCAATGAGGGCTTGAACCCAACTGACAGTTTCGGAGTTGAGATTGGGTTGACATGGTATTGATCCCTTGGAGTCCCCTAACGCGACTGGAGTTTGGGTCTGGGGGAAGTTGTTGGCATTGAACTGGCTTAGCTTTGGCAAATTCCGATTTCGTATTGGGTTGTTTGGGGTCTGGGAAACAGAATATTTATTGTTGGGGCGAATTTATGACCATGGGGAAGCCACAAATCAATGATAATCCGAATTCAGTCATGCTCGTAGCAGTTGATCATTCTTGCACACGTGCATCCAGTTTTCTGAACTGCCTGAAATCGGGAGTCACCCACCATCCTGCACCCATCGAAGGAAAACGATTGGAAATTCCCGAAGGGAGCCTCAATTCTCTGATCATGGTTGTTGTTGGAAAACATGCTACATTCTTGCTTATTGAAATCCCCACTGAACTGCTATATATATATATATATATTTGCTCCCCTTCCAACGTCAACCATGTGCATTTGGGACTTTGCGGCGACTCTCGGCCAGCGGCCCTTGTTTTGTTCGCCCTCACCAGGCGCAGAAGGCGATCCTCGAGAAGTTCAAGGCGGGGTCGCTGCTTGCTTGGGGGTTGGCCTTGAATTGACTTAGGTAAGTTGTAGGCTTGTGGGGCTCATGGTTTCACAAAATCGTGTCTTTGTCTTTTCTTTGGTGCCTTTTGCTTGGATGTTAAGACTATAACTTTTTGCCAACTAATGGGTTTTCCATTAAACCACTAAAAGTTAATCTTCTTCTGCAGGGCGCAGAAAGCAACCGAGTTTTCCGGCACTTCATCCTTTCTCCCAGGCTGGCAGATTTTTTGGTACTGACAACCAGAGTTTTTCTCCAGGGACCCACGTGGCCCGTCGCATGGCCTGAAGCCGACGTTTTCGTCAGGAGGCTCAGCACTTCATGACCGTGAAGGCCTGGAGAAAGATCGATGGAATCGATCGATCCGCCATGAGAGAGGCGTGGTACTGTGACGCGAAATCCATACACCGCACCACTTGGAAGCCATGCGGAAACCATGAGGTTTGTTGGACAATTTACGTAGGGGATCATCAGACACCAGGGTTTCTGAATGGTGGCTGGCAATGTTGAGCCCGGAGCAATAAACCCCTGTTTACTAAAGTATGGGGGTGGAGGCCCCTCCAAAAGTGGTCTGAATCCCCACTAAAACCAGGGACGCCCCCATATTAGACAGGGGTGTATCCATCCGGGGTGAACATTCTGTCTCACTTCCGTTCCGAGAAGGGACTGAAGAGTCACCTTTTGGGGTTTGGACCATCGGTGAAGAAGTTCCAAGACTTGTTTGGGCCTATTCAGGAAGTGGATGTGGTATGATGTTGACGCAAGGACTTGTACACACCGGTTTATTCAGAGGCCACTAAGGGGACACCCCTATGAGTCAAGGGGTTTGTTAATCCGGGGCTGACACTAGCGAGTGGCACGGTTAGCACATGGTTGCCACCCATTTCCTGGTTGAATTTTCCAAAAGCCTGCTTTAGGTGTACCCATTGGCAACTGATTGTTGCTTACTATCGTTGAGAAGACGAGAAGCAGGGGGCAGCGGAATTTCCGATGAGCAATACACATGTTGCGATCTTACAAGAGCTTGGGGGGCTGGTTTCTTCCGCCCTTTTCCTTGGTTTCCCCTTGGTTTCACTTTGATTTCCGTTGAAAACCTCTCTGACCAAGCCATATCTTGAGAAGGGGGTTCCCTCTGACAGATCTGAGCCTTTCTGCCCATGAAGGGCACTTGGGGTCGTTTCTGTCCACCGCTTCGAAGGACCCCAAGATGGCCTACGAGAAGATGCTGGACATGGACGAGCGGCAACTCACCGCTGCCAAGGCGAGGCCAAGCGCGAATCGAGCTACTTGAGGGAGCGGATTGGCGCACTGAACTCGCTTGGGTGGTCAAAATTGAACAGGGAAACGCAGGTGTTGAGTCATTTTTGGTCCAGCTGTCCATTTGCCAGGGTTCCGTTTTGGTACCCATTTGTGACCCACAGCCACTTGGAACTTGCAAGAAAAACCCACAATGACGTGGGAGGGTAACGGGGATCCTTCCCTTTTGGAGGCGGTCCTTCACTTTTGGAGCGATTGAGCTGGCATTGAGCTGGTTGATTTTCTGGCGTGTTAGTTTTCTTCGTCGGCTCTTTCGTTCTGTACGTGGGGCACGGGGGGGGGGCCAGAAAGCTGTGGTGAATAGGCAAGATAAGGAGTAAGGAGCTAGAAACAATGGAAATCATCAAGATCTGATGTCGTGCACGTTGTTTGGGTCTACCCTACTGGCTCCAAGCCAATTATGCCCCACACAATGCATCCAAAGGATAGCTCAATTGGCATGTGCTAAAGTTATGAACAGGTTTCTAGCAGTTTGTGGGGATCCTGACAAAAGAAACAAACACAGAGCAGAAAAGCGTCAAACGTGCTTAGCAGCTAAAAGGTTCCATGTACAAGCTGGAGCGTCTGCCATGAGCTCAAGGGACCATTCCACTCAGGGTGTAGCTCTTGAGCATATGCTTCATGGATCTATGTCGAGTCAAATTCGGGGGGGGCCAAATTGGTGGCACCTAATGGGAGGGCCCGGTAACTGGAGGTTTGGCAGCTCCGGGCCTCAAAAGGGGCCCTGGTAGAAACAAAGGAACTGGATAAAAGGACCGAGTTTGGTGGGGAATCCATTCGAGGAGATGCCACCGAACAACAGTCATGAATGAAATCCGGGTATCTAATAGTTGCCAGGCATAAATGCCAATTTCCCCTGACCCTATTTGTTTACTCCTTTACAGAGACGCTCTAGGGTGGTTCCCCCCAACTTTTCTTTGTCGTTTGTTGGGAAATGTGTACACATTTAGCGACCCCCAGAGACGCGCAATTGGGCGGCTCCCCCCAATTTCACGAGCTCGGCGATGAGGAGGCGGAGCTTTTGAAGCCCATCCGCGTGCGCTTTACCGAGGACCGCGGCTTCGGCTGGCTTCGGTTTTTCGCTGGTTTCCCTTTTTTCACCGACCAAAAAGGGGGAAACCGCTGAAAGCCATGGAGACAGTGGGGATGATGTTTGTTTTGTGTGCATTTTGTGATACAGTGGATGGTTGCGAAATCCCATGAAACAAACATGCACCACCGCAACCAGAAACCCTGGTTTCTGATTCGAGACCCCAACATAAATACCAGCAAATAGTGGTTTCAATTATGGTTTCAAAGTGGCGCGAAATGGATTTCGTGCATCCACAGTATGGGGCTGTCTTTTTTTAAGGTTGGGCCCCCACCCTCGAAAAAAGATCCCCCCCCTTCTAGCTACAATTAGTTTACTCGCAGAAGTCATGACATTAGGTACCCCACAACCCCATTCTGAGTATTTGGACCCTTACAGTCGTTTTTGTTGAGGGCACCCGTTTTTGGGTTTCTTGGAAGGAAGCATCCGAAGGCAACCCCACCCATGTTTTGAGGTGCTTGAGAGAAACCCAGGTGGGTTTGGGTAATGGGCTTCATTTGCTCGTTGGTCAAACTTTGCAGGCGACGAATAGGGAGGGAGCCAAGCGTTCCAGCCAGGGCCAACAGGAAGCTCCTCTATTGGTTTTGGGGGTTGATCTGCAGGGTTGCCAAAGGGGCCAGTGAATGATGCGGAGAGCGACCCAAGGAAAAGCAAAGTCTTTCTACGTGACCCTCTGGTCGGTTCCACATGGCGGCAGTAGACTTGGGCCTCAGAATCGCTACTGATTGACAGGATGTGTCCCATTGCAGGATCTTAATTTGGTGGAGAAAGGGCCAAGACTCTCTCGCTAGAGGTTTCATACAAGGAGACCTCTCTTCCCAAACCGCCGCACATTGCACATGCCTTCTAATCATCCGGTGGGTTTATGGCAAGTATCCTTTTCCCGGGTAAGAAAAAAAGGGGGGGACCTCGAACTGCAAGGCGCCTTTGGCATCTCTGGGAAGCCGTAAGCCGTAAGGAGTGATGGTTTTGCCCCGTTTGGGTAGAACGCTGAGAGACTTGGTTGTTGTTGATCTGCCCAAATGGGTAGAACGTGTTGATAGAATTGGGTGGACAACTGATGAAGCATTGCTTTGTTCCCTGTTGGTTTCCTCTTCCGGGATCAGGTTTCTTGACACACTTAACGGGTCTTTGGAGCAACACTACAACCAAACATTCCCAGAACCACGACGCGCCATTTTGTGGCGCCGCCGCCTGTCTTGCCTGTCTCAGGGGTCCATTTCTTGCTTAAGACTTGCCCAACGCCTGTCGCCTCGGCAAGCGGAATTGGGGGGGGAGTGACCCTGGGAGTTTCGTTCGTACTTCCATTTGTTCTCTTTCGTATAGAAGCCAAGAGACATGAAATTTCGGGACCCCCCCGTAGTCCCCTCCCCCTCAGTCGATAGGGGGGTGGGGCCCAACTCCCTGCTTGCCAGGGCCCGGACCGCACCATGGACGGCAAGACGCAGTACCCCAAGGCCTGGCCATTCCCTGGGTTTGGTGACCCGTATGGGCTTCCATTCTCACGAAGGGGAATCGGATTTACCAAAAGCACATGAGACCGTCCTTGGAAGAATCGGATTCCGTTTGTTCGAATCTATAGGGTGAGTGGTGGCTCTTCTTTTTCTCCATTGGAGGCGGGGTTCGCCCAGAATCTAAGGCAGCACAAGGGTGCCCTTTTTTCCCCACAGCAGGCGGGAAGACGTGGCGTTCGGGAAACCCCCGACACGAGTGGTTCCCTTTGGATTCCCTTGGAGTTCCACCCGACAAGGGGTGAAGTTGAAAGCAAGCAAAAGGCACGTGAGCACCCCCTTCGCCTCCAACAAGATGTCCCTTTGGGCTCCCAACCCCTCCCCCCCCCCGGCAGCGCCCAGCTGGCTCGGTGAGTCGCCGAACGTATGAAGCTCCCATCCCGGGTCAGATTCGTTGGAGATAGATGGATCCCACTTGGGCTCCGACCAGCCAGGTGGGACAAGTTGCTTGAGCATACCCCCTACTCCAAATGCCCGCCTTTTTTTAGGGTATTTGTGGGAGAGCCTGGTTTTCCATGGTAAATACCCCCTTTTTTAGTAGAGGGTCGACATCATACCCTGAAAAAAGTGGGTATTGGGTGTAGGGGGTATAACTGATTTCATGGATTCCACAAAGGTTTCGACGTCCCGACACCCTTTTTTCGCATGGGAACCAAGGGCTTGCCTGAAAGGAGAAAGTTTGAAGGGGTAGGCCAAGTAGACCGATCCACCCCAAACCCCAAAACCCCACTTCTCATCAATTAAAGTCAGCAATGGACATGAACGATTCTTTTAATCTGAACGATGGGCCAGTCGAGTTCGACAACCCGCTGAGTGTTTGCTGGGCTCGCTGGACGTGCGTCGCTGGATCGCTCGAGTTTTCGAATGCTCGAGGCCACGGAGGTGCCGGGGATCTCAGGCCAGGCGACGATTCTGGACCTGCGGCTCAAGTTGGCCAAGGCGGAGGATCTGCCGCTGGAGGAGCCCCTTCCGGGTTCGGGGGAGGGGCAAGGGGGGTGCGTCGGCAAGGGGGGGGAGGAGAAAAGAGAGGAAGCTGGTTTGACATGCGATTTTTTTGTTTTGAGGTTCACCAAGTAGGTAGCGGACAGGGAGTTTGGGGGGGGAACGGGAGCTCGGGAGTGTTGTAAACAAAAGCCAAAGGGAACAACTGGCACATTTTGGAGGTTCCACCAACCGCAAGGCATCCTTTCTTAGGCCTCTGCTTTGGGTGGGGTGATGTCAGATAAGTCTTTGAGGATCTCGATCCATTGGGAGAGGAGGTTAGAGCTTTAGCTCGGGAGAAGCAGGGCCAAAGCCGTGAGTGCCTTCAACAAGTGTGTATATATACGTGTACATATATATATATATGTTGAATTCCGGGACCACCCAAACAAACGTAGGCGGTATCCTTGTGGTTTCCCCTTAAAGCCGCCCAACAAGTTTACCCTGAACACAGCCACATATTCGGGGACACAGCCCGCCATGTAAATGTCCATAGGGTCCGTGTCCAGCACTGCGCCTGGGCGATGTCTGGCGGAGGACACGGCGACCTGACAACCCAACAACCCCATAGGCGTCTTTTTGATCGGTTTGGTTAGAAGGGAAACCCATCTATTTTTGCCAAAAGGTCGCGTACGGTGGGCCCCCTTTTTTCCTCCGCCTTATTTGGGGAAGGGTGTTCCTGTACGGGTTTTTGTTAGGGCGTCGTGTTTCCTTATTTTGGAAAGCGTTTCCTTTAAGGGTCCCTAAGGGGCACCCAGTTGCCTTCCTTGGGGAAGGTTTTCCTTGTACATTGTTTTTGGGCAATGCCCCTGGTTTCTGGGCAAACTGGCCAGCCTTTTGCTTGGTTGCCCAAAGGAGCCCCGTCCATTTTCCCTTTACCTTCAAATCCCACTGTGGACGGACAAAATCCATTTCGCACCACTTTGATTGAACCCATCACATTTATTGGTATTTACGTTGGGGAGTCATATCAGAAACCAGGCTTTCTCAACGGCGTGTTATTTGGATGTCGCAACATCCACAGGATCCCAACTTCTTCAGGCCTCCCGGTGCCAACCGCCAAGCAGGACATCAACGTCTTCGCAGGGGACACGAGCCTCACGGATGACCTCCGGCTCCACGAGTGCTTCATGGACCAGCCGCCGGTGTCAAAACGCGAAGACTCGAAGAAGAGATTTTGAGGAAAAGGCCTGTACTGCTATTGGGTTGGATCTTTAGACTTTAACTTTTTGGATTCTCCTCATATTTCCTTTCAACACGCAAAGGATCTACAGCACCCAAGAGAGGCCACCTTCCCTTTTGCTGAAATGAATACTGCACTGTACCTTGGCAAGTCTTTGTTTCTTCCGGTTCTGTTCATTTTCAGCGGGCTGCAACAAGCCGAGCTTCTTTTTTTTGCTGCCATGCCAAGGGTTGTGAAGTTTGTAATTTTTCCCTGTCCGTTTATTATTATTTTTAGTTTTATTCCCCAACAGCTGCAAGCTTTGGGGTCTCAGCCCAGATAGGCTCCGGGGTGGTTCGGGGCGACCCTGAGCTAAGGTTCCACCAGGGTTCCACCAGGGGTTCCACCAGGGTTCCACCAGGGTTCCACCAGGGTTCCACCAGGGTTCCACCAGGGTTCCACCAGAGTTCCACCAGGGTTCCACCAGGGTTCCACCAGGGTGCCACCAGGTTCTGCAAGGGCGGGGTGGTCTGGGGTGGTTTGAGGTAAGGTTCCACCAGGTTCTGCGAGGGCTGCAGGGTGGTCCGGGGTGGTTTGAGGTAAGGTTCCACGAGGGTTCCACCAGGTTTCCACCAGGGTTCCACCAGCCCGTCGTGCTCCGGACGAGGGTTCCACCAAGGTTCCACCAATTTCTTCGAGGGTGCGGCGTGGTCCGGGGAAGGTTCCACGAGGGTTCCACCAGAGTTTCACCAGGGTTCCACCAGCGGTCCGGGCTGGTTTGAGGTAATGTTCCATGAGAATTCCACCACAATTCCACCAGGTTTTGCAAGGTAAGGTTCCATTCCAGCACGGTTCTAGCAGGGTCCCACGAGGTTCTGCAAGGGCTGCGGGGTGGTCCGGGGTGGTTTGAGGTAAGGTTGTATGAGGGTTGCAGGGTTCCACAAGATTCTGCGAGGGCTGTGGGCCCTGAGGCTTCACAGGGTTCCACAAAGCTCTGCAAGGATTCCACACGGGTTCCACAAGGCTCCACAATGCTCCACCAAGGATGTGTCGTGCGCCCGTCGTCTGAAAAGCCATCGGATCAAGATCGCTTTGCTCATGGGCGGAACACTAAGCAAAACCGACATCAATGGTTTTTAGCACACTTTCACTGTTTTGTGACTTGCTCACTTGCTCAGGCAAATGTTGGCTTTGTGGCAAATCAGATCACGTCGCTGCGGAACTCACGGTGCAGCAGAGTAAATGCTTGGCATTGCTGCTTGGTGGGCTTTGGGTTCCAAGAATTCCACGAGGCTGCGAGGGCTATGAGGTCAGAAGGTTTCCACCAAATTCTGCAAAAGCTATGGGCCGTTTGGGCCCGATCGGCCCCGATTGCGCCATCGCGCCCCGATCGTACCAAGCTGGCATCGCCTAGTTTTGCTATAGATACAGTTGCAATCCGCATACTAAGGAAAACCGGCGTTGAGCTATAATATGGGTTGCACCACGGGACGATCGGGGCCCGATTGCACCGTCGGGCCCCGTCAATTGTACCAAGCTGGCATCGCCTAGTTTTGATATAGATACAGTTGCAATCCGCACGCCACGGAAAACCGGCGTTGAGCTATAATATGGGTGGCTGGGGTGACGATCGGGGCCCGATTGCACCGTCGGGCCCCATTAAGGCCCCGATTGCACCGTCGGGCCCCGATCGGGCCCCGATTGCGTCGTCGGGCCCCGATCAGGGCGAGATTGCGCTGTCACTCGTAGCTTTGCTTTACAAGGCGGCATCCTCAGCAACAGCGGCGGTAAGGATGGTCCCGGGGCGTTCCGCGAGGATTCTGGGAGGGTGTGGTGCTATTGGGGATATCGCCCGAGCTTATTTTTATTTGTTTCAGGATTTTATCACTATTGAGCATATGTTCTCGTTTCTTCCACGGGGGCGAAACAGCAGACAGAAGAAGCCACCTGCAGTTTTTTGTGGGTTCCTGTTTGGAGACGAGCCCCGAACTCCCTTTGGCGGACATGACTTAAGTGGGACTTCCGCCAACCATTTTCGAAGTTGCTCCAACAACGAAATCTTGGACACCAAAACGGGGGTCTCGCCAATGGGACTCCCTCAACTTCCGTTTGCTTAAAACTATGTTTTACTTTCTTCTGTTGGCTTTGAAAGGAATCTAGCACTAGTGGACATACTTGTATTTTTTTCCAGGGGGCCGAAGCAAATGGAGGTCAAGCATGGATCGTTTCTGTTTGGGGATCACTTGTTTCGTGCAGTGCTCCTCTCGACTGGCTGACCGACTCGCTCCGGAATCGGCCCCGGGCCGGCTGAGGCCAAGCCATTGCTCCAAAGGTAGAGCCCAACAAGTAGGGTTCTCCTCCCCAAATGGATGGCTTGCTTGGGGTTCCAGGTTACTCTGAATGAGTTGATGTGCGTCCAAATGTTTCTTGGTGGCTCCCAGCCATCCCCGTAGCCTTTTGGCCTTTTAGTGTTTAGTGGTAGTTTCCATTTAACCCGCTAAAAGTTAGTCACTTTTAGGGGGGGATCAGTTCGGGCAGCCTAGGTTTCCAAGATATGTCCTTCGACTGCTTGAGCAACCAGGCCCATCGCTTCTCGGATGTCCTGGCTTCTCGCCAGGACTGGATGGGCTCCGGCCTGGATGATTGGCCGCCCCGGCTCACGGCCGCTTGCCTCAGAATGGGTCTGTCTCAAAATTCGACACCAAACATGTCTACATGCCATGTGTCAGTAGTCGACTGTTGCTGGTTGACTGTTGGTTTGTGCTGGACATTGGGCAGGGCTCCTTAAAAGATACATTTTGCCCATTTGAAACATGGCTTTTTCCACCAAAATAAAGGGACACTCCCATTTACAAGTTGCAATGTTCAGGTATTTTTCATGTAAGAATCCCTGTTAGGGGGACAACGGTCGGCGGGTCCCAGCAGTGGGAGCAGTCCTCCGGTCGCAGGCCTGGCGCGCTTGGAATGTGAAGCTATACGAGCCAGGTTGACGTCCCAGACCGGTCCCTGGAGTCCTGCGAGTCAACTTTTTGTCGGCTGTGTCCCCCAGAGAGAAAAAGTCATCAGGATTCCAAGCAGCAACAGGCTAGGATGGGGGGGGTCGGCGGATTTGGGGCTCCAAAAGATTCCTGAAATCTTGATGTTGACCCAGGATGGATCAAATCTGATTTGTTGTTTTGGATTGGGAGAGGAGATCCGGATCACTTTTGAGGGTGCGGCCCCCCCAAAAAAAACTATTGTGAGGTTGATTCATCCAGCTCAACCTGCTTGTGGGTGTGGGTGTGTGTGGGTGTGGACGGGTGCGTGGGGGAGGGACGGGAGGGGAGAGAGGAGAGAGAGGGGAGGGGAGAGAGGGAGGGTCCCTTAGGAAGATGCAAGGGGAAGTACGAGGAACCGAGCAAGCTGGCGCTCAGTAGGGAATGAGGGAATGAACCTGGGGATCCCCCCTCAAAGGAAACCATCAGTTGATGGTTCATCTCGGGGTCATTCCATGTCTCATTCTCTGCATCTCTCCCACCAAGCAAAGGGGGGCTTCTTGTTTCTAGCACCCCACGGGTTTCTGTCCATCCTTGTAAACCATCCCTTGTAAACCATGCAACTCATATCTCTCGCACCGATGGCAATTGCTCCAGCGAACCCCGGGTCCGGTGCCCCGTCCCATGAGGTGAAGCCGCGCATCGCCGGCTTCGAGCTCCATGTCGTAGTGCCGGCCATGCATGGGAGCCCAGGTGCGCAAATGCCCACGTACGGGGGGGAGGGGTGGGAGAGGGGGGAAGGGGGGGGAGAGGGGTGGGAGGGGCAGGAGAGGGGGGGGGGGAGGGGTGGGAGAGGGGGGGGGGAGAGGGGGGAGGGGGGGAGAGGGAGGAAACCTGGTTAGTTTGGTAAGAAATAGAGATGGGTTTCATGCCCCATTTACCAAAAAAACTAATCTATGCCAGAAGGTCGAGTATGGTGGGCCCCGCTTTTCCTCCTCCTTATTTGGGGAAGGGTTTTCCTTTCAGGTTTTTGGTGAGGGGCGTCGTGTTTCCGTGTTTTGGGAAGCGTTTCCTTTAAGGGTCTCCAAGGGGCACGTCTCCCTGGGTTTGGGACAACCTTTTTCCTTGCCTCCGAACTTCTCCAAGCCCAGAAGCGCCTGGTTTCAACAAGCCTTAAGCGCCCCCGGTTGCCCAGTGGACTCCACGGGTGAGATTTGTTGAAATGCATTTTGGTGGGATTCAAAGAGGGGATTTACGTTTGCCACTGCCATGCCCTTTGGCCACTCCGTTTCGGTTGCTCTTGGGTTGCCTTAAACGGGATGCCTAAAGGATGCCAACACATGCCTGTGAGAAGAACCCCAAGGGCCAAAGCTGGGCCAAGTCGACCTTGAACCTTTCAACATCTTTGGACACTGTTTGGTTGCCCCGCGACTAAGGACTTTTGCATAGGGTCTGGGTGCGAGTCGGCTTGATGGTCCGCATTGCACTTGAGGCGTGCAGGGTTCATTAACAACAAACACCTCAGTTGCTTTGGTTTTCCGCTTTTGATCCATTTTTAGTCATGGGCCCAAAAGGTAACCTTTTGTTTCTGGGTCCTTTGAGCAACTGAGAAACACATCTGGGCGAAAGACAGCGACCAGGGAGGCTTGCTGGCGCGAGTCGCGCACCGTCGCGAGCCGGGGTGGCTGAGTGGCTGAGGCGCGACACCTCAGAGTGGGACAAGGGGAAGCTCATTGGCTACCAGGAGCAGAACTTGGCGCGGGGCCCCGCGCTCGCATTTTTTTTTTGCTCTCGGCCGAAGGGCTCAAGCAGCTATGTCTGGTTTTTTGGCGTTTTTTGAGGGTACCCTTCGCTGGTTTGTTTCAAAGGGAAGCCAAAAGGGAAAAACCACATTTTGTCTGCGGGGGGTGGGGTTGCAAGATTTTGACCCAACACTGGGAGTCGGTTTAGCCCTGGTCCTGGTTGGCTGGTTGGTTGGTTGGGTGGGGGGCTGGTTGGTGGTTTGGTTGGTGGTTGGTGGTTGGTGGTTGGTGGGTTGGTGGGTTGGTGGTTGGTGGGTTGGTGGGTTGGTGGGTTGGTGGGTTGGTGGGTTGGTGGTTGGTTGGTGGGTTGGTGGGTTGGTGGGTTGGTGGGTTGGTGGGGTTGGTGGGTTGGTGGTGGGGGTGGGTTGGGGGGTTGGTTGGGGGGTTGGTTGGCTGGTTGGTTGGTTGGTTGGTTGGTTGGTTGGTTGGTTGGTTGGTTGGTTGGTTGGTTGGTTGGATGTGTCTGTGGGTTGCTGCATCCTCACAGGCCTGACTGGGGCCTGCCTATTGGCTTTGATTTGGTGGCAGTTGAGAGTTCGGGGTTGGTTTCGTGCGATCTTGTGGCCGGGCCTTGGGTTTGTTCTCCTGTTGGCTTTGTGGGTTGGGCTTGCGTTGGAGCTCTTTGTGCCAGCGCGGGTCTGCAATTTAGGCAAACCGTCACGCGCTTTGTGCGTGACCTCTGGTGTACACCCCTCCCTCTGATTCCGCACCCGGCGTCCAGTATGCGTTGGAAGCGGAGGGTGCGCGGATCCGGCCCGCCCGCAGATCTTCGACGTGCAGCCCAGCACCACAGTCAAGGAGGGCACAGTGCGAATTGGTCCGGGTGAATTATGGCGACCCCACACGTCCTCACCCCAAATGGTGGTCTATGTGGGGAATAGCCACCTTCCTTCGGGCTGGTGAAATATTTTCTGATTCACCCAGATTTGTCTCATGAGCCGCGGGTTTTTGACGAAGCCAGCTACCAACCACTCATGTTGAGATGCCGATCCAGAAAGCCACCATTTGCATTGGGACGGAAAGGCCTTTGGTTTCAGAATGAGAGAAAGCGGAGACCCTGGTGTGAATGGGATTCATGTCGACCAACCACTTTTGGGGTGGCTCCCCGGTTCCCCATGAATGTTTATAAAAGACCTGCCAAGCAGGTTTTAGTGTGAGTTTCCATGCAAGGTGCCATTGTACATGTTGTTTTTTGAGCCACAGCCAAATATAGCAAGACTCACCTGAGCCACGTGCTCAAAACCTGGGTAGCTGAAGGTTAGCAAGGGACAATCCCAGCCATAAATAGCTGCGGATATCCGCCTTCTGAGTTCTTGAAGCATGGTTCTGGGTAGATCATTTTAATACCGGGTTTTGAGCAAGTGACTCACCCTGCTTTCCCCCTAGCGGCTTGGGGACCAGGTCACTTCGCTCGCTCCACCAAGCGGCAAGCGGGGAATTCGTTCTGTTAGCGTTTGTTTGGTCTGCTCACTTGCACAGCTTCTTATTTTGGAGGCACCCCTTTGGTGCATTTTGCCAAGGGATGTTAGGACTTTAACTTTTTGCCAGCTAATGGGTTTTCCACTAAACCATTGAAAGTTAAACTTTTCGCAGGGGAGTAGAAAGCAACCGAGTACCAGCGTGTTGATCGTATCATGATGTTTGAAAGTCCAATCTACGACAGCTTCCTTTGTGCCACGGTCAAAGCACCGGGGCCCCCGTGCTGTTGGTCTTAAACTCTTTTGGCGCCTGCGGATCAACCGGCAGAGCGTCCACCCCTTGCATTCCTTGGGTTCTTTTCAAGGGAGCCATGACACACACACACACACAATCACACACACAAAGAGTTTTGACCATCGCTTATTTATGGGTCAAAATTACACCACCAGGCAACTGCAGGTTTGAGTTCATTTTTCCGCTTGCTAGGGTTTACGTATTTTTGACCCACAGCCATTTGTACAATGGATCGATGCGTCTAGGGCACATCAAAGCCGCAATGCGTTGTATACCGAACGTTCACCATGCTGCCTTGGGCCACAACACACAGGGCTCCCCATGATATTCTCCTCTTTTGGGATGTGTGAACATCACCTTCTGGCCCGATTAAAAGCAACTGTTCTTTGGGTGGGGTTGAGCAAAAGGAAGTGGGGACCCCCCACTCTGAGAGCAGGACTGGCACCGGCAAACTTCTTGGAATGCTACGCAATCAGCTGCTTCTCTTGGATTGTGGAGACATACGGATACCCCAAACATTGCAAATGAAGAAGCGAACTGCCAGAAAAAGCCGAGTAACAAAGTAGCAGAAAGCCGCGCGTCGCAAAGTAGGCATGTTTACAGGTGCCTTTTTCCAGCGCTTCCAGTTGCCAGTAATAAGTCGCCACGCGACACCACCATTTACAAGCTGAAAGGAACATCCCTGGTGCCCCACTACTGTGGATGGACAAAATCCTGCACCACTTTGAAGCCATGCGGAAACCATTGTTTGTTGGTATTTACCAGAGAATCATCCTTCCAGGGTTTCTTAGGTGGTGCGAAATGGATTTCGTCCATCCACAGTATGAGGCTTGATGGTTGCCATATCCCACTCCAGCTATTGGCAGGAGATCAACAGAAAAGTTCCTCTCGCAACATGTGATTAGATTTCACCCTTTGCCCTTTTGGGAAAGAACGGGTTCACCCCCTGACGGCGTAGGATTCCTCCTAGAGGCATGCCAAAGTTCCCAAGAAGCTTGCAAGGGGGAAATCCTGGTGATCCTGGTATGTTCGATCAATGGCAAAAATTGCTCCAACATGTCCAAGTCTGAGTTTTTGGCAATGGCAAGCGTCGTAGGAGCTGAAGTCTTTGCTCTCTGATCGGCAGGGGACTCAAAGATAGTGACAGGCAGCCTTCAGCCCATGTGGCGCTTGTCGCTGTGTTGATCTTCATGTGATCCGAAAATAGCAAGTTCTGGTTGGGTCCCATGTGCGAGCTCCGAAGGGATCCGGATCACTTCTGGCAAGTTGCATCAACCTACCCATTTTTCCCAGGTTTACTCATCCGGGGTCAACCCTTTTGTCAATTTTAGGGACTGTGAAGGTGCGGATCTTGGACCTTTTTCATGTTGTTTTGGGCATACATGTTTACCACTCCAAAGGTTTTACATGGGAATGGTGGAGGTGTGGACTGCCGAGCCAAAGACTTGTATGGAGGGGAAAGGGGGAAAGGGGGGCTGCTGCAGTCTGGACAGTTTGGGATCTTGCATTTCTTGGCTCAGAAATTCTGAACAACGAATTCGACTTTTCACCCAGGTTAAGAGTTGAACGTTGACCCAGCAGCGACCCAGTGACCCATCGGCTTGCCTGTCAAAAGAGGTCGGGAGGTCCTGAAGGACGTCTAAGAAGGTATCTCAGGAGCAGACAGTAGTACACACGTGCGCGGTCAACATATCCAGTCCACAGTCCATTTGGCAGGGACCTGAGTTTTCCACAAGGGAACACTAGTTTGCCTGTGCCCTTTAGGGGAAGCAAGTCATTTTGTCCAGAGCTCATGCGAGCCTGTGTCCAACATAAAGAGTTTCGCATCAGTTTCCCCAAACAACTCACAAAGGGGCGCCAAGTCTAGCAACACGCCCGAGTATCCATGGTGTATGTGTTGGTAGAGCGAAACCAAACGTCCCTTGATTCATACAGGCAGTTTCTGGCGCAAGGACCTTTTAAGCATGGGATTGCTGATGCCGAAGAGCAAGTATCCAGCCAGACAATGTCAAGGCGGCCAAGGCGGTGTCACGTTCAGGAACCCACATCAAATCTTTGGGCAACTACCAAAAAAAGGCGGACATATTACATGATAGTTTCCAAAATCGGGGGCCCTTAAAGTATGTGGTGTCCTGTCACCGGAGACCGTCCCAAATTCCAGATTTTGTGGGTTCATTTTCAGGTCCCCAAATGGGACCCACTCGAAATATGGGGTTGACGGTCCAATTCTATCGGTGTACGTGGACCATACCAGTGCCTCAATCAAAACAAAATCCAAAATCAGACATCAAAAAAAGCCCCATGGGCCTGCCTGTTGATCGGATTCTTGGCACGCATGGGAAGGGCCTCATTTCGAAGAATGCCGACTGCAAAGGGCAACCATCAGGCACGTGTTTTAAGCAATCAGATAAGGGCAGAAAAGGGACAAATCAAACGCCAGCAGCTAAACAATACCGCGGATGGACAAAATCCTGCACCACTTTGAAAACCACGGCTGAACCCACAACGTTTGTTGGTATTTACGTTGGGGAATCAGATCAGAAACCAGGCTTTCAAGCAGGGCGACGTGGAAATTGGGAACCCAGCGTCGGTGTGGACCCGCCATGCGGCCGTCGCTTCTCGAGGCTCGGCATCCCTGCGGAGAGGCACAGTCTCTCAGCGCAGCTCAGCACCTTGGATCGGGAGGCCGCTGCGGTTGCATTTCTGGCTGGTGCTCAGGGAGTGTGGGAATGAACCCTGGGGTCCCCTCAAAGGAAACCAGAAGGGATGGTCTATAAGGGGCATTCCCTCATTCCCTGAGCACCAGGTGGCAAAGTAAATCTTCGGGGGTGTTTTCTATTTCATGTTGGACCTTTGTGACCTCCCAAACATTCCCAAACCATACCAGGATCCTGAATTGGGAAGAGCACTTTCTGTCACAAGGCCTCCTGAGATTAAAGCGGTAAGATTAAGCCGCAGTTTGTGATGGGAATATTCGGGGAGGGTGGGAGGAGCAGGGAGCGGACATTTCTTGGACATTGGCCATTTGGGTCCGGGGTAAGACTAACTTACCCTGGATGAAGGCGCTTCACTGCGAATCATTGTACTTTGTGCTGCAAAATGTTGGTTTGAGGTTGCCACATTCTTTTTGCGAATCGTAATCATATTGCAAGGGGCTTTTGGCGAGGTTTCACTCAGTGCTTGAGGACAGTGGCGGATATTTGCTTGCTACTTTCTGAGAATGGCCCAAGGAGTCAGATTAAAAGTGACAAAAGCTGTGATAGAGAGGATGATTTTCCACAACCATGCTCGTAGATTCAATGGTGTCTTTTTTTGAGGTTCCCCTAAAACGGCGGTATTCCTTTTGGTTTTTCTTTAAGAGACACCCATTTGGACGTGGAAGATTCTTGGGTCAGAATGTTTTGTGGCATGGACTGCGATTGCGTCGCTCGGCTCGGCCAAATGTGGCATCCTCTAAGGAAGGAGTGTGCACAGCTACGGGGAGTTTGTGGATCTGGACGACGATGCTGGGCAGAAGACTAGCTGGATGTTCAACCTCTTGTCGGCATGTGCTGTTGCGCTGGGTCTCTTTTACACTCTCCTTTAAATGCAACCGGGAGTGTCTGCTGAAGGAACCTTCTCCCCAAAATATGGACCTACCCCATCAGAGGTGCATTTTGCCAAGGGATGTTAGGACTTTAACTTTTTGCCAACTAATGGGTTTTCGTATTAAACCACCAAAAGTAAAAAAAAAAAAAAAAAAAAAAAAAAAACTAAAAAAAAAAACTGTTCGCAGGGCTTCACAGATTTCGCAACCGAGCCATGGATCTTTGAAGGCCTGTGGCCACGGGGGCCAATTCCAGTTGCCCATGCGCTGCGAGATGAGGATGAGCGAACCCTGGCAGACTATGAGCTGGAGAAGTATTGTGTGTGCGCCGCGGCATGGAATGGTGGCTATGAGTTTGAACGGACCCTTTGAAACACTGTTGGACATCAATTCGACCCATGTAACGGTGCGTACTCTGCCGCTTACGTGGAGTGTGCGGCCTTCTTGAAAGGTCGATTTGCTCACAAAGGGAGTTGCTCCGCGGTTAAGTTTGGGCGTAGTTGTTGAATACACGAACAGTTTTGTTTGCTCAGCTTGAGCTGTGCATCCCAACTTGTGATGAGGCAATATTGAGTGACACACACACACAACAAAAACAACACAATGATTCGAGCCCCCGGGATCTTTTGTCCAAGTCCAGTTGCCACCAAAGGCAGGAGAATTGCATTGTTGCCCTTCTCTTTTGCAGCTAAATTGGTGGTTCTATGTTTTTAGTCTACAGGGACAGCGATCATGACAAGTTGCATACCCTTAGCCTTATAAGGGGTTATTGATTTACGTTTGATGTCACCCCCACGCATCAATCCGGCTGGTTCAGAGGGGTGCAACCCCCCAAACGTTTCCTGGATACGTTGAATCACAATGAACCAGCCAGCCAGCCAGCCAACCAACCAACCAACAAGGGCCTTGTCCATTCATGGCCCATCTACCTTCGGCGAAGAGGGACTTCAGGGGAGACTTAAGGGGGAGCTTAACGTCTTAAGGTCGAAGGGGGGGGGGGGTTAACGGGGGCTTAAGGGGACGCTTAAGGGGAGGCTTCAGGGTGGGGCTTCAGATCTTAAGGTCTCCATGTCGCAGGGGGAGCTTAAGGCGTTGTGGGCCCGGGTGGGTGCGTTCACAAGAAGGTCATAAGGGTAGGGGGGGGGGCATGAAGGGAGGCTTAAGGAGGGGCAAGGCGGGGCTGGGGAGGCTTTACTTTAGGGCTTCAGGGCGGAAGCGAGCTGGGGGCTGCTGTTTCACAGAGGAGAGCAGACGCGGGCAGGGTTGCATTGCGCTTGCATGCATCTGGATTTTTGAACGTGGGCACTGGGCCCGAACACTCGTTCCAGTAGATTCAAGACTTCTTCTTTTTTTTGCTCACGCCAGCATTAGCGACCTGACACTTTCTGCACATTTTCAGCTACGTGAAACAATTTGTTGGGGTGGGGATGTGGGTGGTCGCGGGGGCGGGGGGATGAACGCGTGAGCTTGTCACTTCCATCATGGCTCATGTGCGGCAAAGGTTTGTGGCCTCACACTGTCAAACTTCTCTCAGCGGCCTGACTTGAGGCGCCCGCAGCTTGCGCAATAAAGCGCCAGGTCACTAACGAGGGCATGACCTTGTTTTGGCCTGAGTCGTCGAAGACGGCCCTGTCTAAAATGCTCATTTTGCAAAGTCTTGCGGGGGGGGGGTTACCATTCGGGCTACATGCAGTTGCCTTCATAAACATACACAGCCCTGTGCACACTGGTGGAGACCGCACCATTTCTTTCCCACTGGGGCATCGACTTTGAGTCACTTACATAATATACAGGAATTACCAATGAGCCCTGGCTTTGCGATAATCATGGAGTTTGACGCGCGCGTGGCAGGCGTGGGGGGTTCAGCCATTTGCTGTGATACGCTTGCCGCGCGTCAACGGCCAAACCGCGCGGGGCCACGAAGAACGACTTAGCCTTGTTTTTGGCTCCCGACCGTTTCGGCTTCAGGGGCTCCAAGGCGACGCTGAGGTTGCAGTAGATTGCCCCCAGCGCGTCAAGCGCGCTTCAGAGAGTCAGGCTTCTTTAGAGTCAGGCTTCTGTAAGGGACATGGGTCCATTCTTTTTCCCTGCTTCAGGGGGTTCAAGGCGAGGCAGCGAGAAAACCTCCACACTCAAGTTTGCCGTAGCTTGCCCTTCACAGCGTGTTCCCGTTTTCGCTGAACTCCGCTTGTCTTGGCGCAATTTTTCCTTGTGACCTTGCGTTGTACTCTTTGGACAACGCAGCCTGGGGAGACTGCGAGGTTGTCCAGGCCGCTCGCAAGAAAGCGGCAGCTTCGGTCACGCAACACCTGGTTCGGCACGTCAGCAGCGTGGCATGGTAGACTGCGCGTGCAGAGCTCCACTGCCTTGGCCTCAGCTCGCGCTGTTTCTCAGCGCTCGTGCGCGCGGGCGTATTTGCGGGCGGCGCGGCGGCCTCGAGGATTTGCGACGGCGAAAAAACACCCAAACAAGGAAGGGCGCCGGGCCCCAACACTGAGGATCCGGTAGCTTGACAGTCAGAGAGTCGCCCTATTTCTTTTCTGCCCTCCAATGGCGTTCTCAAAAGCAGACTGGCAGCCTTTCACCCGCCATATAATCTGTGGCTATGGGGCTTTTTGCTGGGGACGACGTACGTGCTGTCTCACCTGCTGGCAGCTGGCGCGTCATTTTGTTGTTTGGGAGCCGGGCGGCGCGATTACTACGCCCTGGCGCGCGTGGCCCCGCTCGCCGACGCCTAAGCTTGACGAGCGCACTGCTTGGTCGAAACACACACGGCGCCGCGGTCTTTAACATTTTCAAGCGCAGACTTCACAGGGCTCGACTTGTCAATATTTGGCTTTTCGTCAAGTACTGGGTGCTAGATAGTCAGGCAAGTGTCCCAATTCAAGCAAAGAAAAGTGGACATCGTTTTGTCGCATTTCATACCCGGCCAGTTGTAAGCGGAGCTTTAGCCCCCGTAGGGCCTGTGGGTTTGAAGCCAGCCTTTTTGTTTACATTCACATGGATGGACTCTCAACACCTATTGTGGATGGACGAAATCCTGCACCACGTTGAGACCATGGGTGACCATGGTTTGTTGGTAGTTGCAACGGGGTCAGCATTCCAGGATTTCCCAGGTGGCGCAGGATGTCGTCATCCACTCAGTATGAACGGCTCAACCTAGACCCTTTTCAACACCGGACCACGCCCAGGCATACGTTTCGAGAAGTCGCAGGTGGATGCGAACGGCGCGGGGCCCAAGCGAGGAAGAATCCCAATGAGCTTGAGCCACGCCCAAGACCCTGATTGGTATGCCCTAGTAGGGAGTACAGGAACATGGGACAACTAGATGTTTCTGGTTTGCGCGGGAAACCTAAGAGTTCGCAGTGAGACTGAACATCAGGGCGATGCCTAACCATCTTTTGCAAAAGCGGGGTTTCGTTGGGAACAATTTTTGTTTTTGGCTGCTTGGGGTGACCCAAGCCATAAGTTTGACCGCGCCCTTTTGAGGAGAAGTTCATTACTGGCTGAACCCAGGATGTCAGGTGACTCTTCGTGGTTTGGATTTTTTTGGCATTTTCACTTGACCACCGGGCTGCAAGCCACCCAAGAACGGGGATTCTGGGCATTTCGGCATGCAACTCGCGGGACCATGGACTTGCCTACAGACGCCAGATGATCCAGATTCAGAGGAAGTTCCAAAGAACAGCATGGCTGCTGTGGACTTGCCTGTAATGAGAAAATTGCCTGTTTTCCGGCTGCATGCGCCAGCCACGAGAGTTTTCTTGAAACCTCATCGTAGCCTGTGGCTAAGAAAAATACGCAGCGACTGACGGACCGGGCGATGGGCCGACGCAGGGGATTACATCTTCGACGACGCCTTCTGGGACGAGAACGGGTACCACGCCCAACCAGAAGGGTGTTGGATCCCTCAGGCGGGCGCCAGGTTGGAACGCTTGGACGAGTGGTTTGCAGAAAAGACGGCATGAAACACGTGAGACACCATTTGCGAACGGTTCAACTGGTTTTGACATGCCCAAGTGTAATCTAGCCGCGCTGTTTTTGATAGTGACTGTAGTGACAGAATTAGGCAAGAGGAACAAAAGCACGTTGCAAGCATCGCTGCACCAGAGCCAAAGATGCGAACCCTGTCCTGCATTGCACATCTAGGCCAATACCCTACTTAAACTTGCGTGGAATGCTCATCATGTTTTACGTAGTCGTTCTTGTGGTTTTTTGAGCCAAGGCCTGAGGACTTTCCATGAACCTGCGACAGGAACCTACAAGTGGCTGAGGATCACGGCTTTGGGATTGAACGCCTCATGGTGACCTACCCCGGATTCATTCAGCATGTTCCAAGAAAACAAGACAGCAACCGAAACATCTGTGTGCAGATGCATTGGACGTGTTGAGCACTGTCGAGTGCTGGGTTATTTCTTGAAGATTTCCTTATGAGACACATGTTAATTGTGGCTGCTAAAGAGATGTCAGGACACGCCAAATTTCTAAAATGGCTCAATGTTTGGTGCCATCTCATATTGCTAAAATGATGGCAGAACATACTTTAGAGGCTTGGGGTTGCAAAAGCACCCCGGCGGGGCGCAGGCTTTGACCAAAAGAGTCTGCGGAATGCTTCGCGCCAGGACTCGCTCGCGCCGGGCACTTGGCCGGTGGTTTGCTTCTCCCGGTGGCCGTGTCGAGTGAACTTGAATGTCAGTTGGAGAACTGGGATTTAGCGCTCCATTTTTGAGATAAGGGACCTCAAGTGACTCGTGGGGGAGTTCCTTACTTCCTTCAAGCGACCGGTAGAAAACTGCCTTCTTCCTTCAAGTGACTCGTAGGGGACGCCTTTTCGCTGTGGCGACTGGCGGATGCTTTTGGCCGAAAGCGTCTCAGGGACCGCACGCGGCCGGACGCCAACCCGGTGGATCCGAACCAGCCGCTCAGCCGGGGGCCCAGCAGCCACGTCGGTGTCTGGTGGCAAAGGAAGCAGCTGGAAGGAGATGGGAGCGAATGAGTAGAGGAATCGGGGGTGCGTTGTCTTCGACCTATTCTCAAACTTTGAATGGGCAAGATCTACAGTGGTTGCTTCGTTGAAATGGTAGGGGATATGTTTTGCAGTTTTTGGCTCCGTGTCTCCGTTTGTGAGGCATTGTCAGCGACCGCCGCGCTGCAGAGAAGAGTTGAGCCGGCGGTCTGGGGCTTCAGATCATCAGAGACTGCAGTTTGCAAAGTCTATCAAAATCCCACTCCCTTTCCGGGCTCAAGAAACAGCCACATAATGCCCGCTGCCTCCCAAGTCGAACAATTGAAGAGGAGTTGCGAAGGACCAAGAATGGTTGTTTTGCTTCAGGTCTCTTAGAACGACTCATTTTTTTTATTGAATTCGGGGGGGGGGGGGGGGTTGCTGGGAAATCAAGCTGCGTTCTGGGGATGGCTACCTCAAAAGTCGGTGGTACACATGACCCAATTCCCCATGCAACGTCCAAAGGGTCCCGAACCAAGATTCATACGAGAACTAGGCTTGCTGCAGCGTTTCAGCAGGGAGGAAGGTCATTGAACAAATGCCGGGGTGGGAGGTCTTGAATTTGTTCAAAAGGGGTCCAAAGAAATACAAGGACATGGACCATTCGCCTCCGCCGGCCGGAACAGCGACTGCGCGCGGATCGGAAGCCTTCCCGGTCCGCCATCTTCCCTCGCGGACGAAAGTGTGGCGTCGCCGGGGCGGGGATTGAGAGGTTCTCTGCATTCGGCTGTCCGCCATTCGACGCATCATCGTGGTTTTGTATATATGAGATTGCATGTTCTTCATAATTAGGTAGTTTTACTTGGACGAAGCGGTGGAATCAGGCAGGGCCAAAAAGGCAACAGGTACAAAAGCGTTTGTCAGGGTAATGCGGGGGTTGCTTGCACCGCTCGGCAGAGAGGACGCTTCCGCCGCCGCGGGAATGGCTCCCAGTGTGCAGACCCATGAGCAACACCAACATCCGGCTGTTTGGGTTCGGAAGTTTCCTTCCCCAATTTGGGTTCATCAGCAGCACATTTGGGCGTGTCTTTTAGTGGAATGGTTCAATCTGGTGGTGTTCACAACCAACAAAAGGGTGTCCCCAAAGATGGCCCATTTTGGGAAAGCAGAGGGCCCAAGAAGGCGCAAAAAAACACCTGTCCAACATACTCTCGACCGCCCTTGTGCGGTGCTTGGGCCTGCCCAAGCGGGCCTGCCGCTTTGAGGCAGTCCGGATCACCTTTTGGGGCAACACAAATGAAGCACCGGCAAAGCAGAGGTGTGCTTTTAAAGTTTGTTAGATTAGATAGCATGAATTTAGATAAGGAACCCAATGGAAAGTCCGTGGACATGAAGGCCCCAAATCATGTCCACCAGAGAGCCCCGAACGATTTAAGAAAAACACATGCCCATATGAAGCATTGTCAAACCCGAAAAGACTGTTGAGTTTCGTATTGTGCGTTTCATGGAATTTGTGGAAATGCAGAACACCATGGCAAACGATGCGGACTCTCATAAAAGATACCCATTTGAGTATGTGCCAGACTGGAGACCCGCAATGCATTTGTTCTTCCACCGCATGGTAAGTTCACAGTTCCAGCGGTTCTCATCCTGAAGCCATCATCGCACTTTGCTACACCCGCCGCATAGCTCAACAGCAGGATGCTTGCCACGGTAGATATTCATTGTGTTCTCAACTGACATAGGACCGGAGTTGCCAAGCCTAATTGGGCGAGTGTGGCCAATGTCATTTCTTATCCCACAGTAGATGATCATGCACATTGACCGTGTACAGAGTTAAATAGATATGCAGTGTTTCAGACGATTCGTATCCAAATGCACGTTCAAAACTGCCGTTATTGATATGTGATGAACATTGTTCTCCTCATGTACCGATCGATCTGGGGAACTTTGGCCTTCCCCCTCAGCGGCAAGGGCAAGGAAAGCTACATTTCATGGCATTTTTTTTTTTTTTTTTTTTTTTTATGAACAAACATCTACATATATATATATATATATACATATTCGTTTTCCTTCACTGGCTTCTCATGCAATGCCGTCATTAAAAGGCTTCAGCCACATGCCGGTGCCACATTCCCCGAGAGCCAGCAACTCTCCATTCGGATCTGCGGCAACGACTGAGATTTGGACCCAAAGGGCGGCAGTTTGCCCAAGTTGCTTCTTGGCAGGCTAGGTCCCCCAGTGCCCTTTTACCGTTTCTTTTTTGGTTGGGAGATTCGGTTCCCATCCAAAAATAGACAAAAGCGGAAAACAAAAAGTCGGGTACCAACTTCTTCTAAGCTCTCAAATCTGGAGGACCTAGCAAACTCCATTTTGGATGGCTAATGTTCAGGTGGATACTCCAAGAACCTCCGCAAAAATTGCTTTCCTGCGGAGCGGGAACCAAAAAACAACATGAGGATCGGAATCTGGAGGACCCAGCAGGTGAGAAGGGCCCAAAACCAGGATGCATTTGTACGCTCCACAAGCCGGCCTATCGGCCTGCCCACCCGAAAACCACCCCGCGCCAAGGTGATAGATAGCTTCAGGTCTTTTGGCGGCGACTGAACAGCCTCTTTGTCAGGCCACCTGGAAACGTCGACCAAACAGGAGTTTCCGCCAAGAAAGGAGGTTGATTTTCCCTCGATTTGTGGGGGGCGTTTTCGGGTTAGTACTGCAGCCTAGATGTGGAATATCGTTTTGGGGTTAGTTTAAAACCCAAAACAGGGCATAATCATAAGATAACCGTGTGCGAGTGCGTGAATAGTTTCTGGTTGGTTGACTAGTTGCTTAAGTGTTTGTGTTGTTGATTTGCTTAATTATGTGTATATGTGTATTTTTATCTTGGTGGCTTCTAGCCATCCCCTTAGCTGTTCAGCCTTTTGGCGTTTAGTGGTAGTTTCCATTTAACCCACTAAAAGTTAGTCACTTTTCGCGGGGGATCTGAGGGCAGCCCAGATATATATATATATATATATGGCCATGGTTCAAAACCAATGGTACCATTTTGGGATAGGTGCACCACCCATTCTCGTCCATTTTAGTGGTTGGATTGGGATGTTCACTAATAATACGGGGTGTTGAGCCATGGCCATATATATATATATATATATATACACTCTTGTTTTTAGTGTCCACTTCGCTTCCGGGATTCCGGGCTTGGCTCTCTCCCGTCTTCGGGCCCGGAAGCGGTGCGCCAGGATGGCGGGGAAGCGGTGCGGCAAGCTGTCCCCCCTCTCCCTGCTGCTGCAGGAGACTTCGGGCTTTGCTTGAACGAAGGGGAACCAAAACGAGGAGTTGGTAAGGGATGATATGAACATCCTCAGGTGGGTCAGGTTTGTTTGGACCAACAAGGGGTGGTAGCCCTGGGGTTCCATGAAAACAATGCGGTGGGGAAACAAGAGCAAGAGAAGAATTTCCGAAATGGGCCCAAGTCTAGGTCCCCCAGTAGTGCCCTTTTACCGTTTCTTTTTTGGGGAAGGGTTCCCCTACTAAAATAGACTACCGGAAGCCGGAAAAATAAAAAATACAATCGCGGGTACCATTATTCTAACCTCTCAAACCTGGAGGACCTAGAAGTGGTTTTGTTCCGTCCACGGTGTGGAATGCCGATTCTCCAAGCTGCGGTCAAACTCCGTCGCGGACCGCCGGGACCGGATCATCGTGCTGGTCTGCGACCTTTGGGCTTTGGTGGACTTGTTCCGCACTTCCCCAAAGGAGACTGGAGTAACATGTTGAACTGCTTGTCCTCGAATCCAACTAAGTCAAAGCACGCTAGCGGCCACATGAACGCAACGGTGCATTGGGAGGACAAGCTGGCTAGGCTTTTCCAGGCTCACTTTGCCCAGTGGTTTGTCCCAGGCCCCATCCACATGGAAGCTGCCTGGGCTCTGGGACCTGAAATTCTGAAAGGGGATCCCGATTAGAGGGGACTGGGATCCAAAGTGGTGGGTTCGTTGTAAAACTCCTTTGAGTTTGTTGGGGGGGGAGGGTAAGATTATGGCTATAGTTTTAGTTTGTTTGGTGGCTATAGTTTTATGGCTATTTTTGTTGTTGAGTTTGTTGTTTGAGTTTGTTGAGTCTTATGGCTAGAGTTTTGCCTAATGTTTTTGGTAGAGTACCCTTTTTTCACCGGTTTCATGGGGACATGTTGTGGGATCCCCTTTGAACACGATGGGTCTGGAAGCGGGAAAGCTTTCTGGTTTATGGGAGGAGTTCAATTCCACGCAAGTGCGGCTCACACGGGAGAACAACCTCATGCAGAAGAGGCTGGTTGGGCGTCGGAAGGACCTGAGTTCGGGTCCCTTCAAGTGAAACAGTGGATGGACGAAAGCCATATTGCACCACCATTCAGAAAACCGCGGAATGATTCGATTCGCCTGTAAATACCAACAAACAGTGGTTTCAACCATGGTTTCAAAGTGGTGCGAAATGGATTTCGTCCACCCACCATTGAGAGGGTGAACTGTGATGATGTCACTGTAGTGGACTCAGTACGTTAGCTTAGGCCATCACACGGTCATGTGTGGAGGGCCCGGTTTGGGTTGGGGGATCGTGGGCCATGCAACCCACAAAGAGAATCCAGACACTTCCCTACAACCCTTTCACCCAACCACCATTCTATGCTGTAGGTGAAAGACCAGGAACGATATTATGTCCCTTCTGTAGCCACCAAATAACCTCCAATAAAGACAAACAGGATAATGACTCAGGTGGCTACATCATATTATTTCCTTATCTGTCCATTTCTCTTTTATTTTCAAGTATTAATATTGGTTGAGGACGTTTCCTTCCGTCGCTTCTATCGTTTATCCTCATCCATAATAACCGACGGGAAAGGTCCTGAACTATGAACTAACCTACAAACACAATCCAAATAACCATAATAAAAGCAAGTTAAAATAATAAAGATAAAGAAAGATGCAAACCTAAAGGACTGTTAACGCCTGGTCTGGATAAGACTCGTCTTTTCAATAGTCTTACCGCTGCAGCTGGGACTAGATTTCATGGTCACTTTCCTTACACCTCCAAGCCTCTATTCTATCGCTTGGTGAGGTGAAGGGATGACCAATAGAAATCTTCCCTGTCCTTCCTGTCACCTATCCTCACTCTATCACTTCACCGTTCCATCGTGAGTCTTTCATAGTGACAGGAACTCCAGAAATTGAATGGAGTGAGATGATGGAGTGAGAGGGAACGGTTATATGCTGTCTGGTCTATCTCCTTTCGCTTTCCTGTTGACCCG